GGATGGTGGTGTGTTAAGGTCAGCTCCAGACAACTGAGGTGAAATACACACGAAAACTTGAATGAACAAAAGAGAAGCTAGCAAAACTTTCAAATCAAGATGTACGCAAGAACTGTGCATGTATAGCTCAAACCACCGCATTTACACTGAGCTCTTGGCCGTGCACATGGCCGTTTCGCCCCTAAGAGCCGATTTGTAGAGGTAGAGGTGCATGTGTATGGATAGTATCAAGAGTACAAACCTCCAAGAGTATGCAACTCTGAATATTTCGTTCTCCTACCCTTCTCAAAACAATCCACAAGTGGGTCTCGCAAACTCAACAGCAAATGAAGGGAAATCGAGTGATTGCTCCTGCGCACAAGCACAGATGCTGACCTTCTTGGCATCTTCAGAAAAGAGCAGAGCCACATCCACGTCCCTACATGTCATGATACCTGCGAGCGGCACAAACATCAGACAAAGTCACTAACTAGCCTGAGATACGACTGAGGATACCTGTGAGCAGCACAAACATCAGACAAAGTCACTAACTAGTCTGAAATACAACTGAGAACAGAGAAACAGAGTGTGGCATAGCAATTTCAGGCCAGACCGGAATCTGACTTCAAACTGCTTCATGATGATCTCGCAAGCGAAAGCGACTTGCATGGCCATCATCGCCAAACACAGTTTCTTGTATAGGCCACCCAAGCACATAATCTACAATAAGTAGGCTGACGTATGCCTTCGCAAGAAAATCCGGTTTCCAACAATGCTCAAGTTGGCCGCTTTTTTTCTTTTATAAGATTACGGTGGGCATGAACTCCATCAATCCAGATCAAATCCCTACAGACGCGCACACTCTGGTGGGTGTGCTCTCTTGGTAGCATGCAGCAATAGGAGCAGCAGCAGCAGCAGCAGCAGCAGCAGCAGCAGCAGCAGCAGTAGCATCTGCCCGTCGCAATGCTGGGACTAGGAAAACAGCCCAAGGATCTCTAATCCAGTACACTGCTGAGTAGCTGCAAAGCAGGACTAGATCGCCAGAGTGGCCAGCTGCACTTACGCGCTAGTAGCCGCCTCAATGGCCAATGGACGGACACCGACAACCGGAGACAATCACCCGTCACATACCCACTTGTCTTTGAAGGTGGTGTACCTGAAGAGAACGTCATAGATCAGAAAAGAGCAAAGCAGCTTACAGCTTACAACTTCAAACTTCCCGAGCTACTAGTAAAGATGGCCGCTGGCCCATTCGCAAGCTGGTCTTCTCGGCAAGGACGCATGGATGAACACATGTCACTTGGATTGATGGCCATCGACCGAGCAGTGGCCGACTCACAGCGTACACTAACACACATAAAGAATACGCATGTTGATGGTGAACGCGTGCATTGCTTGTAGAGTGCAGCATGCCCGTACAGTAAAACTCCCCTAATCCGGGCAGGCTGGGACCGAGCACTGAGCATAGTTAGGAAGTGCCTGTGACTCAGAACATACATACTTGCTGCATGCAAGTAAACATTTTTGTTAATGTCAATCAATAGTTTCTGGGGCCGGTTTTTTTGTCGAAAAGCCAATTGTGTGACTCTAGATGGGTCAGAAAGGTGCCCGGTAGACAGAGATGCCCGGATTAGGGGTGTCCGGATCTGAGGAATATGACCGTATCCTCAATCCACTGTACACATGTACAATCAACTACACGATCAGTAGCATAATCGGTCGGACAAACAAGCGAAGGCTAAACAAACGCTTGAGAGACAAAGCACAGCGCTCGAGCAGCACTTACTAGAACCTGGCCGTTGTCGGACGGAAAGAATCTCCAAGACTGTGTAGCGATATTGGGTCAGCTTGCAAAGCACATCCATTATGTGCTTGAGACACAGGTGAGTGAGTTTCTCCTGAAGAAATATCACCATAATGATGGCAACAATCGTCACAAATGAAGAAATCAGACAACAACAACAACAACAACAACAACAACAACAACAACAACAACAACAACAACAACAACAACAACAACAACAACAACAACAACAACAACAACAACAACAACAACAACAACGTTCTTGACCACATGCAATGCCGAGAAAATACAGACTTCGGACATTCACGAGACTAGGTCGGGATCAGAAAATCACCTGAAGCACTGTGATGTATGTAGTACTGAGAGTACTAGCCACACATGTACACACATGTACACATACACACATGCACGCGTGCGTGCACGCACGCACCCCCCCCCCCCCCCCCACACACACACACGCCACATACACACGCACACATATGCACACGTACCCCCCCCCCCCCCCACACACACACACACAGCTATCACTAAATGAAGGTAGCCGTCCAAGCATTGGACTCGTGTTAGGTGCTGAACCTGCTGCCATGATATCGTTTGGCAACCGTACAACTTTTTTTTAAAGCAATACACCGCACGTGCACAATCATGCTCTTACATCTGATCGAATCCATTTCACCAAACGTCGCAGGACACTGTTGTAATGCAACATAAAGCTGAAGCTCTCCTCCCATTCCTTCTCATAGAGAACGTGCTCGTCTTCCTTTCTCCTGAATGACTCCACACCCTGCACCGAGAGAGAATAGTAGGCAAGAAGGCACATAATTTACACATATGAGTACACAAATTTAATACATACTTCAAGTACATGTACATGTACAGCACAATACTTCGAAGTACTTCGTACATGTACAATGTACAGCACATATACTTCGTACATACACTGGACCAACACCCACACACAGCACCATGGAAAGCACTTCCGGCAGAAACCGCACACCGGGAACCATACCATCTAGGAAGACGGCACAAGATCATAGTGGCCGAAGCCATGTGCGTTTTCCACCCCCGGAGTAGGAACTCCTACGTGGCCCGTGGTCTACGCAACTCGTGGCCTTGACTTACTGACCCCAAACGTGCCCAGGCCCGCGGCGTCATCTGCGAGCCTGTATGAATTGGCCTTTAGCTCCTAAGTGCAACTGGAACGGGCAGCACGGGAGCAAATCCACTTCGTTTCACGTCCCAGGCGTCCTTGTCATCTCCCTGGATGCCATGACTGCCTGCCGCACATTGCCCAGTCCTGCTGTGCATATGGGCCCAGCCGCACACTGCCCAGTCCTGCTGTGCATAGGGGCCATGCCGCACACTGCCCAGTCCTGCTGTGCATAGGGGCCATGCCGCACACTGCCCAGTCCTGCTGTGCATAGGGGCCATGCCGCACACTGCCCAGTCCTGCTGTGCATATGGGCCATGCCGCACACTGCCCAGTCCTGCTGTGCATAGGGGCCATGCCGCACACTGCCCAGTCCTGCTGTGCATAGGGGCCATGCCGCACACTGCCCAGTCCTGCTGTGCATACGGGCACACTTGGCGTGATGAGCTCGCGCTCAGGCATTCACCCATGATGCCCACACTACCATTCACAACATAGGTTCTACTCCCAACTACATGTACAAACACTTTGGGATTAATAAAAGAAGAAGAAGATAGAAAGCAGAAGAAGGCGCACACTCACCTCCAGCTCCAGGTAGATTTGCACGACGTTGCCAAAGCCCCTCAAGAACCAGGCCCGGCGCTCATCAGTCCATGCCAATGGAGGATGGCACAATAAGTAACTGAACAGCGAGGAATCAGGCACAGGAACATCACCACAAGGCCACAATCAAACACACACACACACACACACACACACACATGCGCGCGCGCACACACACACACACACACACACACACACACACGGACACACACACGTGCGGGCACACCCACACGAACACAAACACAAACACACACACACACACACACACACACACACACACACACAGCAGACAGAGATGGTAAGAAAAACACGGGCTAAACAAAATGAGAAAAATGAAAAAAAGCCGTGGCACCCAGTGACCCGCAACCAGATTACATACACGTTGATGTGGCAGACACAGCAACGATCTGGCTATATCATCATCATCTAGCATATTCAGCACCGTGCGGCATCAAAGATGGGGCATAACGGGAAGAAACAAGACGCCATAGACGTTTCCATCGGGGAGATACGGTGCTGTTTTAGCGGTATGTCCAAGACAACACACAGGACTGCTTTAGCATTTCATTCAATGCTATCAAAAAAGCCATGGGCATGAACTTCACAGCACACATACATGAACATGCACGGCACACGGGCACACGCACATGCACATGCACGCAGAGATGCACAACAGCAGATACCCATCATCCTATTAAAGTTAAGAATCACTCTCATGATGATCGCAGCGTGCCCTCACCGAGTGTCTTCCACAACATAGCAAAATCTCTGCATGTCCACGGTGTTCTGATGCTCTGCCAGCGCTAGTACACCATCGGAATCTGTATGCAAACATCCACAGCAAAATAACATACACAAACGTAAGCACACGTACATAGGAACACATGTACGTAGGTATGCATGCAAGCACAAAGTCAAACAAATGAGTGCGACCACAAGCATACATCACACGCATGCACACACATACAAACACACACACACACACACACACACACACACACAATGTGACACATGCACACACGTGCAGATGGCACTAGCATCGGCCATACTTCTGCAGGCATGTAGTCTGTCCACGACAAACTGTGTGATCTTGTAGAAGGCATCGTGATTGTCCATCAGTGTGTACGCCTGCGGAATGAGAAACAAACAAAACAAGGAACACGCATGAGAATGACAGATGACTGGGACCATGTAGACTTATTAAAGCTGGTTTCAGCAACCACCCGGTCTGTAAGGTAACAGCAAACTATGTTTGGCAGCAACTGTGTGTAATATGTTTGGCGTCCAGTTGTCGCACTTTCTGACTGCATATTATCTAGTTATAGTGGTTGCCCGCTACTCATGCCTCGTATCAAATAATTGTTCTTTCCCCTCTTCAATTTTGGAACTATTTCTAAGTTCGTATTTGAAAATAGTCGGATTTGTCCATACTTTCAAAACACATGGTGACAGTCCACAGATCGAGTACTTAGTACACTACGTGTAAAATGCACACTTCTCAAGTGGCATGCACTCACCACTGGGAAACCAGTCTAAGACGATAACTCAATGGACCCCGGAACGTGGTCTCTGTGTACAGGTGATTCTCTCATCCAGGTTTACATGTACTGGTAAATAGACTGGAAATGTTACCCCTTGATCCGTGTTCTAGTGGTGGTGGACTTAACCCTTTATGTACGGACTGTACAACTTTCGATCCCCTGGGATCGAAACCTTTCAAAATTTCAATCGATCGTAACTCAGTCATTCCTGGGTTATATCCGAAAACTAAAATATGTAGGTCAAAGAGAAAACTCCCATCTGTCCATTGAAACAATCCCTGAAGCGCTCCGATGTGTGATTCCAGAGTTACGAAGCTCGAAAGTCGAATCGCGGCAAATGTCGCTCAAAAGCCGCTCGCGCAAATTTGAATGAGGGATTTCCCCATCATTCTGGGCATGCAGTGACGTAGAAACACGTTCAAATGATAAACGGACTCATGGCAGTTTGTGAAATGTTTTTAAAGTAACAGTTACTAGTTCCGAGCAAGGAGAGCGAAATGGCTGATGCAAGACGACTTCTGTCGGAATATTGGCGTTGCAGCTAAGACGCTGGGCTGCAGCGCTGGCGTTTTGACCTTCGTGGTGGCAAGCGTGGGCTCAATGTGTTCCTCTTGCGACGAGCTTTCCAGGAAGCCCAGGATTGAAAAAATCGTCAAAAGGAAACTTAAAAGTTATGACCCGGATAATTATAGAATTTGAGGTGAGTCGAGATCAAATTCAGTCGGTGTACAATTTTTCAGTACATAAAGGGTTAAGCTGCGGACGGGCCTTTTTCGGTCTGTAATATTTAAAATTTCTATATAAAACATAGGGATGAACGTACCACGGTGGGGACCGTAAAGAACTGCACTGATAGTGACGCCATCTGCAGATACACACACACACACACACACACACACACACACACACACACACACACACACACACACACACACACACAAACAAACACGCATACACACACACACACACACGCAAACAAGCATACATACACACACATAGGAATGGACATATAGATACAAAGAGTCGCACCAGGAAGAGGGCAGAGTAGCATAGTAAGGCAACACAAAAGCCACACAGCTAGCAGTAGTTTGTAGTTGAAACACATTCCTGCACACATTACTGACTAGACTTACCGACATGCTGTGATCGTGGTCATCCTCAAGGTACTGTTCCTCGATACGTTGATAGTGCTGCACACACCAGCACACAATGTCATCATTTATGTTTGTAATTAAAGCAAACCAAACGGGCAACAACGTAAAAGTATACATGGAATGAACTATCGCGGCAATGGTTCTCGCATAGCAGCATGCCAGTGCGTGCGTGCCTGCGTGCGTGTGTGCCTGCATGCACTTTCTGAGAGAGAGAGAGAGAGAGAGAGAGAGAGAGAGAGAGAGAGAGAGAGAGAGAGAGAGAGAGAGAGAGAGAGAGAGAGAGAGAGAGAGAGAGAGAGAGAGAGAGAGAGAGAGAGAGAGAGAGAGAGAGAGAGAGAGAGAGAGAGAGAGAGAGAGAGAGAGAGAGAGAGAGAGAGAGAGAGAGAGAGAGAGAGAGAGAGAGAGAGAGAGAGAGAGAGAGAGAGAGAGAGAGAGAGAGAGTATATGTGTGCATACATGAAGAAGCAAGAGAGTACCTCAAGGAACTTAATGGCAAAGTCCACCTTCTGATGGGTGTCACTTGTCATCCTAAAGTCAAACACAGCATAAACACAGAAAATATTTGGTCCAATTTCACGAGGGTTCTACTTGGGAGGACAAGTACATTTATTCCCGTAGCTATGCAGAAGACGTTACTTCAGTAACGTCTGGCGCTAGCCAGGGTCCACACAGCTTTAATTTGGTGTTTGTTTGTGTGTTTGTTTGTGTCACGCCTGGCGCTATCCATATCTGACGGCAAAAAAGCATAGGATGTTATAAATTTTTCAATTCTCCTTTTTTTTCAGGCATATCCTGGGATTCGAACCCGCACTATCGCCCTACATGCATTCCCCCATACACTTCGCATTCATACCCATTCTTCCAAGTTGCTTTACGTTATTATCTTGCGTTTGAAAGCCCTATTTGAATATTGCGGGCGGCTGTATGTGGCCAGCTGTGTTTGATGGTACGGTACGGGAGACGGTGTCGTATTACCCTCGATCGTACCTGTCCCGTACCTATCCCCTACCGTACCGTGCCATCAAAGACGGCTGGCCACAATGCATATTCAAATAGGGCTTTCAAATGCAAGATCACAATGTGAAACAACTTGGAAGAATTAGTATGTATGCGAAGTGTATCGGGGGATGCATGCAGGACGCGCGATAGTGCGGGTTCGAATCCCAGGTTGTGTCTTAAAAAAAAGGAATTTTTTAAAGAATTTATAACATCCCTATGCTTTTTTTTTGTCTAGGTCATCAAGGCAAAAAAGCATAGCGTAGGGCCCTGAGCTTCCAAGCTCTCTCGTCTCGGAGTGAATGTGACCAAGGGTGAAAACTTGGAGAGATATTTACGACGATTGCAGTGTAAGACCGTGGTGGTGAAGACGGAGATTGAGACATGAGTGCGACCATAACTAATCCTCAATGCAAACACTTGTCTGGACTGCTGGCAGAAAAAACTCATCTCAGCCCAAAAAAAACCCAAAAAACCAGAACCATCAAGGTGTCACCCCACAGCTTTTCACTGGGCCGTAAAGATCTTTCTGCAAACAAGCCCAACATCACCACCTATGCACCAGACTGAAAGAGGTACATTTATCCTAAACTTGACTCTAGTCTCCAGCATGCATAACTACACCACTGTACAGTTGAAGATAAGAGTACAATGTAGATCGGAATGGTGCAGACTGCTACCTATCAGACTGCGGGTCACCCACAACTACAGTTGAAGACGAGTAGTGTAGATACGAATGGTGATACAAATCAGAGTAACTATAGCATGGGGTTACATATGGCTAGTTTGGGCTAGCTAAAGGTGGCTGGCTCTTGAACTGCACTGTACGCAAACCCGTGCATTTATTTATACTGGTATACAGTCAACTTTGCGTATAACGACACTCAGCGGGTCATCAGAAAAGTGTCCTTATTCGCGAAGTGTCCTTATACCCGAAGTCTCATTATATGTATTACAGTTAGATGGGACTTTGCTCTGGGCATGGAAATTCTGTCAATATTCGCGAATTGTCGTTATACCCGCAGTCATTATTAGCGCAGTTGACTGTATTTATTGTCATATGGCTAGGCACCAGGACATGGAACTTACAAGCTCATGACAAAAGACTGGAATTCACAACGAGACACTGCAGAACAACAGAATCAGCGAGACCGACACACAGCCGTCATCTATCAGAGCCACACAGGCATACCGGTATACTTGTACTAGAAATCATCGATTTGGTACTGTGAGATTCCACCTGCATTCCGACCATGTGTTGTGCATTTCACCATGATGTGCACACACACACACACACACACACACACACACACACACACACACACACACACACACACACACACACACACACACACACACACACACACACACACACACACACACACCTACATTTACACTAATCTTACACTTACACACACGTCCTTGATTGACTTGTGTGTGTGTGCATGTGTGTGTCTGTGTTGTACTCGAGGCAAACGACTGCGAAAGAACCAGAGGACTAATCTGCCCATTCAATGCAGCCTATGTAGCGAACGATTCTCCCGCCCGCAGGACCTCACCCGCCACCGAAGACAGAAACACTAGCTGTGTGTAGAACGGTCCCCTTTCACCTCAACTACTCTTCTTGTTTCTTTTCCTTTCTCGCTGTTGTCTCCCGCTTCTGGGAGCGACGTGGCCATTTTGTGGCAGTTGTACATAGTAGTAGTAGTAGTAGTGTCTGTGTCTGTGTGTGTGTGTGTGTATATGTGTGTGTGTGTGTGTGTGTGTGTGTGTGTGTGTGTGTGTGTGTGTGTGTGTGTGTGTGTGTGTGTGTGTGTGTGTGTGTGCAGGGGCGTGCTCGGCCCCCCAACTAGGGGGGTGCACGGGAGCCGAGGGGAGCCCCCCCCCCGGCAATTTTCTGCAATTTGTTTGCAACCTTTCTTGAATTTTGGAGCATATTTGCATACATTACAATTGCAATTACCCAGATTGAAAATGTTTGGGGGGTGCACGTGCCCCCCGTGCCCATCGCCGAGCACGCGCCTGGTGTGTGTGTGTGTGTGTGTGTGTGTGTGTGTGTGTGTGTGTGTGTGTGTGTGTGTGTGTGTGTGTGTGTGTGTGTGTGTGTGTGTGTGTGCATGCATGTGTGCATGTGCATGTGCGTGTGTGTGTGCGCGTGCGTGTGCATATCATGAGCAAATCAGATTTGTTAGCCCAGCTCCTTTCCTAATCCAGCTTAATTTCTGCCGCACAAATGGTACCGGATTACGGGTAACCTGAATGGTACAGCAGCATCAAAAAGTCAAAGACCATTTGGAAACAGACTGCAGTACGTCATTAAAGTGAACAAATGAACTATTTGTGTAAGCTGACCTTTTCAAGAAATCAACAACAACATGCAACGGAAGGGGAAATCCCTATCTGGCAAACTTTCTTGCCAACTGCCAAAACAAAATCCTACAAGAAGCTTCAATGCATGTGTCTTAGAATACCAAAATAGAGTAAAACCTGTAACTAAAGACCACCGTGACTAGTGACCAGCCTGGTACTACAGACTACTCCGACAGGCGCGGACGGTCTAACATTCAGATATGGTTGCGCGGTGCAAACCTCTAACTAAGGACCACCTGCCACTAAAGATCGCTTTCTCTGGCCCCAAGGGCTAGGGGTGGTCGTTAGTCACAGGTTTTACTGGATGTGTGTGCACTTGTTGCACTTCCCTACTATCAGCATCAGGAAAGCCCTACTCACTTCCCTACTATCAGCATCAGGAAAGCCCTACTCACTTCCCTACTATCAGCATCAGGAAAGCCCTACTCACTTCCCTACTATCAGCATCAGGAAAGCCCTACTCACTTCCCTACTATCAGCATCAGGAAAGCCCTACTCACTTCCCTACTATCAGCATCAGGAAAGCCCTACTCACAGCATCAGGAAAGCCCTACTCACTTCCCTACTATCAGCATCAGGAAAGCCCTACTCACTTCCCTACTATCAGCATCAGGAAAGCCCTACTCACTTCCCTACTATCAGCATCAGGAAAGCCCTACTCACTTCCCTACTATCAGCATCAGGAAAGCCCTACTCACAGCATCAGGAAAGCCCTACTCACTTCCCTACTATCAGCATCAGGAAAGCCCTACTCACTTCCCTACTATCAGCATCAGGAAAGCCCTACTCACTTCCCTACTATCAGCATCAGGAAAGCCCTACTCACTTCCCTGCTATCAGCATCAGGAAAGCCCTACTCACTTCCCTACTATCAGCATCAGGAAAGCCCTACTCCTATGGACTGGCAGCTATACCTTTCCACAAGACATTTCCCACGGAGAGCACTCTGTCAATGATCAATGTGCTTGCTTCACTGGCGGGGGTAGCTGAATGCGGCTGGGCCAATGAACCTCTCAGCATCGTGTCGCGCATGATCGTCTGCAAGGCACCTGTTGAGCATGGACAGTCGACAAGAAAAACGCATCAGCACAGCAGATGACTTGAACAAAGCTCCGAGCCGTGAGTGCAACGGGGCACACTCTCGGCTCAGTGTATGTGCACGCTTGTAGATAGGCAGTGGTATATTAATACTTTGGGAGTGGTATAATAATACTTAAGGAAGTGGTATAATAATACTTGGGGAGTGGCATAACAATAATATTCCCTGATTTTAACTCTGTAGATCAACATGACTGTACAGTACATTATACACGGACAGTGTAAACAACTGATGCACACTCAACATGACTATACATTATACACGGACAGTGTATACAACTGATGCACACTCAACATGACTATACATTATACACGGACAGTGTATACAACTGATGCACACTCAACATGACTATACATTATACACGGACAGTGTAAACAACTGGTGCACACTCAACATGACTATACATTATACACGGACAGTGTATACAACTGATGCACACTCAACATGACTATACATTATACACGGACAGTGTAAACAACTGATGCACACTCAACATGACTATACATTATACACGGACAGTGTAAACAACTGATGCACACTCAACATGACTATACATTATACACGGACAGTGTAAACAACTGATGCACACTCAACATGACTATACATTATACACGGACAGTGTATACAACTGATGCACACTCAACATGACTATACATTATACACGGACAGTGTAAACAACTGGTGCACACTCAACATGACTATACATTATACACGGACAGTGTATACAACTGATGCACACTCAACATGACTATACATTATACACGGACAGTGTATACAACTGATGCACACTCAACATGACTATACATTATACACGGACAGTGTAAACAACTGATGCACACTCAACATGACTATACATTATACACGGACAGTGTAAACAACTGATGCACACTCAACATGACTATACATTATACACGGACAGTGTAAACAACTGATGCACACTCAACATGACTATACATTATACACGGACAGTGTAAACAACTGATGCACACTCAACATGACTATACATTATACACGGACAGTGTAAACAACTGATGCACACTCAACATGACTATACATTATACACGGACAGTGTACACAACTGATGCACACTCAACATGACTATACATTATACACGGACAGTGTACACAACTGATGCACACACGGGACATTTTCAGCAATTTGTTCGACGAAGAATATGGCTAAGCTGAAAGAGAAAAGCCGTTCCGGTAATGAAGAATATGATGCAACGTACCCAGTGCTTCATACAAGATTGCTGGCCTTAAGCGCTTTCTAACCAGGCATGGGGCTGTCCTTGATCTACTAGCTACACTCCCCATGCTACATTCATGCATTCACTCACTCGCCTCGTCAACATACACGTACACAGATTGAGTACTTGTATATACAAATAGCTAACGCTACTTCCATGCATGCATGCATTTCCTTACCACACGTTACGGACAGGTTCTCAAGCCAAGCGAGCAAGGAGATGGCGAAAATCTGATGAACCACAAGGCTGTGCGGGAAAACCTTGAGGACGACATCGGGCTTGAGACCGCCATGAAGCTACGCACGTGCACGCACGCGCACGCAACACACACACACACACACACACACACGCACGCACGCACACACACACACACACACACACACACACACACACACACACACACACACACACAGAGGAAACAACCCACCAAGGATGTCAAATGGCTGACAAATAGCAAACCCACAAATCTACTTTCCACAGAAATTATATATAGGGTGCCGGCATTCGAGTCCTCTTCATTTACACCCAGAGCAACTACAAGATTGACTAGTATGACTACCATATCCATGTGTCCTGGCCTTCCGCCATCAACTAGAACAGCATACAAGTAGTCTCACAAAGTAGCCAGGCAACGCCAGGCACGGTCACGCACTGCCATGCACTTCTATGCACTGCCATGCACGGCCATACACTGCCATACACTGCCATACACTGCCATACACTGCCATACACTGCCATACACTGCCATACACTGCCATACACTGCCATACACTGCCATACACTGCCATACACTGCCATACACTGCCATACACTGCCATACACTGCCATACACTGCCATACACTGCCATACACTGCCATACACTGCCATACACTGCCATACACTGCCATACACTGCCATACACTACCATACACTGCCATACACTGCCATACACTGCCATACACTGCTATACACTGCCATCCACTGCCATACACTGCTGCCACACACTACCATGCACTTCCATGCACTGCCATGCACTGCCAGGTACTGCCATGCATGGCTATGAATGGGATAAAGAGTCATACTGGCATAACCGGCCAGTCTCCAATATCAAGAAGAAGAAAAACCCTCACCTTGATATCAAGAATGTTCTTTTTCATCTTCAAGCATTCATCCTTCGAGGCAACAATCACGGGTAGACGACCCTACATGGGAACATGAAGACAACACCACAGCAAGTAAGATAATACACGTGTGTCTGACATAGCAGTAAGCCAGTAACACATCACTGCACCATACCTGAAAGAGAAACAAGGAAAAGGCGAGAGAGAGAGAGAGAGAGAGAGGGGGGGGGGGGGGATAAAGAAAGAGATGCCTGTATAAGCTACCAGAAGAAAACTCAACATAAGATGCAGTGCGTGAATCTACACGCACACGCCCGCGTGCACACACACACACACATGCACGCTCACACACCAGGAAAAGAACCAAACAACTTACATCACGGTCAATGATGGTAGCAAGATTGGCCGCAGCATCTGTAGATACTCTCAGAGTGTGATCATGCTTCAAGATCTTGATGATCTAAAGTCACAGTCAGCAACCAGAACAAATCAAACAGAATTGTATGTGCACCGGCATCACACCTTGTTTTCCGATTCCAAAGCCTCAGGCAAGCCTAGCATTCAGCACCAATGGGAAGATCCAGGCTTTTCCCATCTGTTCAGGATCACTGCAAGTCGTAGTAAATATCGACGGATCGTGTTCAAAAACCAACCGATGGGAGTCCAGCCTTAAATGACTGCTTATCAGCTGGGCCAGCACTGGCTGCTTCCCTGAATCTTCTCGTGCTTCGCATCACAAGATCAACCTGAGAGTGATACTGTATTTCAAATTAGTACACGCAGAGAAACTTTTTAAAGCAAACTGACTCACCAACAATCCCTAGGAAAGGAATCAAACAAACGGCCAGCTGAATGAACTACATATAGGGAAAAAAGCTATGCGCTTTGTGCACTGAGCACTTTTCAGGCAGTTTGCTAGACCTTTCTAAATAGAAGTGTCAACTATCCAGATAGTGGCAGATACCTATCCAAAACTGAATGCAGACAGATTACAAGTATTAAATGTGTGGGAGAAAATCGTACCTCATCAAATGTATGCACTTCATCATTGTACAAAAGTAGACAGTGCTTCTCACCAGTACACCTGGACAAACAAAGAGCAGCAACGATGGAAGGCGGACAAAAGCAAACCAGCTGCACTGAATGGTCTAGTCAGTGACAAAGAGACCTGAAAAAGGCATGACCCAACTGCCGGAATGAAGTACATGTACATGTGGTATGTGCACGACCTTAGTTATCAAACACATGCAGGCAAGCAAACTCCACGGAGAGTTTCCGATCACCTACCGTATTTTACCGGTTGTAAGTCGACCCCGGTTATAAGTCGACCCCCCTATCTGGAGGTCTCAATTCTGCGTTTCAAAGTTTTCACCCAAAGAAGCACTACTAACCACCTCCTGCTACTAACACATCAACAAATCATGTAAACATTCCTTATTGGAGTATATAACGTCCCAATCCTTGAAAAAGGCCAATAAACTGGCAAAAATGTATAAACATGGTGCACTCGTACTCGTACTCGTGCATGCAGTGCAGGTCATTTTTTGTAAGATACTGATAGTTCCCGGTTATAAGTCGAATCCCGGTTGTAAGTCGACCCCCACCCTTTCTCCTTCTATTTTAAGTCGTAAAAGGTCGACTTACAACCGGAAAAATACGGTATATATGATCACCCTAGAGCATGATCTCTACATGCAGCTAGGCAATCAAACGTACATCAGGACGAAGCAAAAGGACGGAGATGTGACGTGTTTCCTCTACTTGACTGTATATGTCTCTTCTTTGGACACGGTATTCAGATAATCGTATTCTGGATTGCCGAGGTAGGACTGGATCACCCAACGACGGCCAAAACGCATGAACTTGTACTCGTGCACTGCTGCTTGGTGAAAATATGCGATTGCGTGACTGAAGTACACGCCGGGCGCCGTGCAGCCCTAGACCTGCCAACACTGGGCTGCGATATAGTGCAGGGTGCCGTGCAGCCCTAGACCTGCCAACACTGGGCTGCGATATGATGCAGGGTGCCGTGCAGCCCTAGACCTGCCAACACTGGGCTGCGATATGTTGCAGGGCGCTGTGCAGCCCTAGACCTGCCAACACTGGGCTGTGATATGGTGCAGGGCGGTGTGCAGCCCTAGACTTGCCAACACTGGGCTGCGATATGGTGCAGGGCGGTGTGCAGCCCTAGACCTGCCAACACTGGGCTGCGATATGATGCAGGGCGCTGTGCAGCCTTAGACCTGCCAACACTGGGCTGCGATATGGTGCAGGGCGCTGTGCAGCCCTAGACTTGCCAACACTGGGCTGCGATATGGTGCAGGGCGCTGTGCAGCCCTAGACCTGCCAACACTGGGCTGCGATATGGTGCAGGGCGCAAACTTCAACTTGACTAACGTGATCAGACTTCATTGAGCAGTACAGTAGTTCTGCCTACTTACTGTAAAGACCAGCTCTATACAATGCCACAGTCAACGAGTCGAGACACTATCAATACAACACTGGATGATGCTCCCACGCCAGATAATCACAATCTATAGCGAGCAAAACATGCCAGTCACTACCAAGACAAAAAACTGCGGAAATAGAATGACTACTACCATACATCCCTGCACACACGAGATACCACACAGGTTAAGAAGCGATTTGGTATGCCGTAAGAGCTCACTGTAAGACACACGCACGTGCACACACACACACAGACGCATGCACGCACACACGTTCACAGACACACACACACACACACACACACACACACACACACACACACACACTGTGCATACCAGTCCGGTGCCACTGCATCCTTGAATGTCAAAGTCTCAACGCAATAGCGCAGACACTGGCTCAACACTGCACGTGCACGCTCCTGAAGCGCCGGGTCGATACCAACCTGCAGTCACAGCGACAAGACAAAGGCACCAGTAACGAGACAAACTCAGAACTGGCAGAGCTGGCAGGCACACAAACTGGAGCCCCTCGGCACCTTTCTCTTCTACAAGATCAGTTTTTCCAGACAAGCCACTGTGTTAGATGTATTAACACTGCTAGTAACACGTACGCTGTGTGGATACAGTACCACTACAGGTTGTGACAGTGCAAGCATGTCCAGTCAGAACATCCGTGCTTCCCGGACAAGAGTACGCTACACAAGTTCCGCTGCGTGGCCAAAACATGGACATCCACCGGTATGCACCACAACACACAGCAGCAGGCGAGCTAGCTGAGTGGCAAACAAGGGACTCAGCTGCAGGCGGGTAGTACACCGGTGCTTAGGCAACGAGTGGCAGTGGTGGTGGCAGTGGTGGTAGTGGTGTTGCTCGAAACCCCTCTATATAACACTGCATGTAAAACAGAGAGGTTCCAGGCTGTCCAAGAGAGTGCTCAACTGTTTTAACACTGCATGTGCATAATACAAAAAGTGCAGTTGCTTTAGTAGAGGGCGAGTGTGACGAAACACTCTACATAACACTGCATGTACCGTGAAGTACATTATTAAATACAAAAGCGCGGTGGCTTTAGTAGAGGACCAATGTAACGTTACAACGCAGGCAGTTGAGTAAAACATAATATGATGGGCACAGGTACGCAAATACACCATAATAGTCGCGGTCCAGGCCACACGCTCATCACCATGACTAGGCCAGCATCAACGATGACTTACAACCTACAACTAACCTAGTTCATTCTCACACAAACAAACACAAATTAGAATGTGATATGTAGCGTCCGAGAGGGGGCGGGGGGCTGCCGCTGATACACCGGGTGCGGTGTTGACCCCCGGAAAATATGGCACCACCAGTACTGTTCAATCACGGGCTCGTCCATACCCGTCTTCGGCAGTAATACGATGCCTCTACAATAGCAGTACATGCTGCAGCACTAACCTCAGCCTTGGTGTCAGCGCCCGCTGCCGGGTGCAGCTTGCAGTGTGGATGACTCTTCCATGCTTCCTCATCGCCACAGTCACAGCAACCGCTCCCACCCGAAGCTGCCATCTACGCAGACACACAATACACAAGCAGAGCTGGCCATCAACAACTAGTGGACTAAGCTGTATGGCAGAAGAATCAGGCTTTTCCGCCGGGGTTGCTATCGTTGCCTTGCGAACAGAAATCAGGCATTCTGCATGCCCCGACATGAACCTTCTGACAGAGATCGGCATACAAGTATCGTACATAGGCATGACCCATCGGTGACACAATCCAGAACAATGAGCTGCTGCAGCTGCAGCAGCAGAACGTGTGTGAACCTACCCTGTAACTATGCTTCTTGTGCTCGCTGTTCTGAAAGCACTGTGAACACAAGACACAGGTCATATCCACACCGCAGTCCCTGCACCAGGAAAACACACACAAAAAGAGGCCAGAGAATCAAATAAAACAATTGCGATAATAGAATAGAACTAAAGGAGGCGTCCACTGGCACCAATATCGGTTGACTAATGACGTTTCGGAGTAGGGGTTTTCCCTTCTAATTGATACCGTATTTCCCCAGATTACAGGTCGCACCGTTTTACACTAAACTTCAAAGGCAAAGACGTTGCATACACATGTACATCAATTCATGAAGTAATCACAAGCACAGAGGCACCATGTCATAATGACTCTCATGCTAGTGCTTACTTCATGATTGCATGTACCGGTACCATGACAAGCTACTGATCATCCTTACACCGTATTCCAGCTTATCCAGAAACTGAAGTGCAATACCAGGGCTTATCACTCCCTTAGTATTGACTCCCATTGATTTTCGCTATACCTAAGCAGTCAAATATTCCTGCATATTTCACTCCTTAGGGCTATATTGACTGCTTAGGGGTTGCGCAGTTGAACGGTGCCTAGTGCAGCATTGTCACTGCATGAGTAGGTGGTGGTGCAACGGTTGTGCAATCATAAAACCGGGATTCATGAGGTTACCGTTCTGGAATTTGAAATACGGACTGTTTGTCGTGATAAATCTAATATTGACTTCGTACTTGGTCAGTACCGTAAAAGTCCTTAACCCTTTACTGTCCGATTAAAATGTATACAAGCCCACGCAACCACAAAATCCGAAACTAAAATTGGACGAAACTTTGGTTTGAATTTGACGATTTCCACGATCTTGGGCATCCTGGAAAGGTCTTGACGAGACAAACGCAATGAGCCCACACTCGGCGCCACAGGATGCACTGGTCCAGCGCTGCAAGCCAGGAACGCGCAAAAGCGCTGAGCTCACGCTCGTGATCGATCTCAATCCACCATGTCACCCCTGTTGCTCGTATCGAGCTCAAATATTTTCGCAGAGACTCCCGGGAACCTACTTTTGAATTTGAATCAGTGTAGCCTTGCCAACAGGTGACGTAAACAGGGAAAATCCCAGCCGTCGACATGCGCGTCGCGCTCTGAACGCACATTTCCCGGGACCAGAATTACGAGCGCGATAACTCAGCAACCGCTCTTCGTATCGCTTCGGGAATTGTTCGAGGCGACAGCTGAGACTTTTCTCTTCGACCTACATATTTCGATCTCTCCAAAAGACCTAGATGTGAGCAAGTTACGATAATTTCAAAATGCCTACCCCATCGATCCCATTGGATCGATGCTTGTATGTACGGACAGTAAAGGGTTAAATAAGTACCTGCCCGAAAGAAATACCCCCTTCATTCTTTTGGCTCTGTCTGTTGAAGTCAAGTCAAGCCCGATAAACATACTGCCCGAAATAAGTACCGGTACGGTGCGCACATGCAGCACGTAGCATGTACATCTACATGAAAAAGACTTCTCCACTACACACAAGTCAGGTCCGAAAGTTAGTTCGTGCCCGAAAGTCAGTACCCGTGTGATCACTAAATTCGAAAGTAAATACGTACTTATTTACGGACTTTTACGGTATAGGAAATAAAAACCTCGTATTCGTAAAAGACCTCGGCTTTTATTCCCAATATTGACCTCGTACTCAGTCAATATTAGATACATAACATGCAATGTATGAATATTCCAAAGGTAGAGTGCCGGTGGTACCTAATAGACCCTTGCACATGGACGGTGTGTGGCGCCTTAAAACAGATACGGGCGGGTGGAATAAACACCCGGATTGGCTTGAACTTATGTCTAACACTCGTGTATAGTCAGAAGGGCTCCCTAGGTTCCCTTCTTTAGCTTCAGCCAAGACAAGCATCAGTGCTGCCCCAAGGCTCGTGGTGACAGCAATTGACTGTTTTCGTATAAACATTGTGCGCAGATTGTTCTCCACCGGCTCTCCGCTCAATATGGGTCCCTCGAGTGCAGTGCAGCAGACCATCCGTGTGCAAAGGGCACCACACTGAGATGATGCAACTGAACCGTTTTCACTCTTGCAGAACGCTTCAACAGAAATCCCTGCAGCCCTAAACTGTTGGCCACCAGCGTATGTCAAGTGGTGCATTTAAGCTGATGACGGACACACCCATGCCAGGAATGAGAAAATATTGGGTAGCATGGTGCGACTTGGAAATGTGAAAGCAAATTATCGGAAGTATGGGAATGCGGCGTGAGTTTGATAGGGAATATCTGATGAACAGTTCGTCACAGCGTTTTGGGAGCATGTCTACTATGTATTACTATTGACATTAGAATGTGGATTGGAAGGCACTCCAACCTGAATGAACACCTATTGGTGGTAATTGCAAACTATTTCGATGAGAACATATTGAACGACTTACAAGCAAAGGTAGGTGGACTCGCCATTTCGAAAGACTCTTCCGCACATCTGCTGCGGTGTGCTATTCTCCTTAAGCTTTTCCATCCCCTGCTTCGGGTCTCCATTGAACAGCAGGTATCCTAGAAGATCCAGCAGAGTATCACAATGGGCTGGTCTTTCTCCATGCATTCCACTCGAATTCTGGTAAGCAACTGGTACGTAGTATATTAGGGTTTCCCAGACCAACCGCATCATGGCAATGCCTTGACCAGATTCAGCTTCCAGCAAGCCCAATAGGTGCGTGGCCAGCTCAGAGGCGGTAGTACCAACCTCCAAGGGCAAAAATTGCCCTGGCATGCTCAACTGCCTTCTTTCAGACATCACGACTTCTGAACGATTATAACATAAGGCGTTCGTCTGGTACTAGATAAAGCTCATAGAACCCATCGTATCCCTCCTGTCCTTCTAAGTAATTGTCCCCCAGAGCCAGACTGGACACCAGGACATACAAAGAGAAACGTGTCGAAAGTTGTCCTTCTAAGTAAATCCAAGTTCACGATGCTGGAAATGACTTTCCTTCATAATTTTTAGCTTGAGTCTTGTCTGGCTTTTGGAGGCTTGAAAATGACTAGAATTACTGAAATGACCATGCATGATCGATGACTAGTAGTCGACTGTCGACAAGGAAGAAGCTGTGGCACAGTGGCTGGGTGGTAAACGAGGTTGTTGGGTATTCACGTCGTTGCGGGTTCGAATCCTGCTCGTTCCTACTTTGTGTTATTTCTTCCAAAACATAAATATTTTTTTGTTATTTCTTCCAAATAAAATTTTCAAGCCCTTTTTAAATTTTGCATTTTTTAAATTTTGCATTTTTTAAATTTTGGCCATGCCAGGTCGTTGGCCCACGTACATACAGAAATAATTGCTACATGTATTCACCTCAATACGTGTTATCAAGAGTAGATAAACATCCTACCCATCCGCGAGTAGCACACTCTTGTTTATCTACTCTTGGTGTTATACTGCAGTTACTTCTTGTTCTCTTGTTGGTCGGCTTTGTTGAAGTTGTTGCAGTCTGACTCTTGGTTTACGCCTTGTACCTAACCTTATCCTGAGAAGCTGCTTGCTCTTGTCGTGAGGAATGATAGGCAAACCAGGAGCCAGAGATGCTGGCCGAGGTAGAGGAAGGAGAGGTGGGGGAAGTCGAGGCGGAGGAAGTCATCGGAAAGCGCCCAGAAACAGACATGGTGCAGCTACTACTCAGGTACATGGCTGTAACAATTAATTTGACTTTGAAAGATATTCCTGCATCTGTATTACTAGTACATGTATTGGGCTTGTCATGTCCTCTCGACAGTACAGCCTCGTATTATGATAACAAGAGTCCTGATAAATAATTGATAATATCAAGAGTACAATGGTTACCGGTATGTACTCTTGATAATACCCTTGAGTTCACTCTCTTTCTTTCTTTTGAAACCAAATACTTAGTAATTGATCCTTATCAGCGTTTTCTGAGTATCATCTGATGATCACCAACATTCTGTGCTAAAGTAGTGGTTGGAGCTGAGTCTGAGCCACAACAACTTTACCTACTGGTTTTGTTGCAGGCGACTTCACGTTTTTTAAATCAACAAATATTCGGTGCATATTAATTTTATTTTATTCGGATACTGAGCCAGTAAATATAATTAAAATAGAAGAGATCACATGGAAACGAGTTATGAAGCAACTATCCACGACTGTAACAAGATAATAAGCAGTCAGAAAGTGCGATAACAGGGCACAAAACTGACAGGCTACTGAGACATTCAACGACCTGAGACCTAGCTCTAACGCATCTCCAGTGCGCAAACCAACAGCCGTCCAGCTTGGAAGGTTCAAGGTTATGGTAGGGGTGGAGATGTGTTAGAGCTAAGTCTCAGGTCGTTGAATGTCTCAGTAGCCTGTCAGTTTTGTGCCCTGTTATCGCACTTTCTGACTGCTTATTATCTTGTTACAGTCGTGGATAGTTACTTCCTAACTCGTTTCCATGTGATTTCTTCAATTTTTTTTAAATTTAATTTTTTCAGCTATTTTTGGCCTGGGCCTTCTAGGTCTAAAATTTGTTGTGGCAGAAATCTTGGTTTGCAAGGTACAGTATGACGGCATAATTATACAGGCAGCAGCTGTGCAGGCTGAAATTTTAATGCGGCGGTAATGTGTTTTCGCCCTCGGAGGCTGAAATTGAAACGCGCTGAAAATTTTGTAGACATACAGTATGTGTGCAGCTGAGTTTGTACCCGTATTTAACTGGCTGTGTTGCTCCCCATCCTGCGCCTTTCTCTGACCAGTCCTCCTGTCTTTGGTGGGCGCTGTGCGCGGTGCATACACTCATCGACTGTGTCCACTTTGTCGCTGAATGTATTCTGGTTTACTGGTACTTTACATGAGCTGGGACGACTTGAGTGCGAAGTATTGAGCCAGAGTGCCTACTGTTACATCTTGTTTTTGTTTTTGAATCTTTTCTCTTTCCCTCTGTGTGATTATGATTCTATCCAACTGTTGCTTTTTTTCCCAGGCTTCTGCACCACAGCGCGAGGAGCTTGAAAGCAATGTGTACAGATATGAGGAGCCGGAGCCGTCACTGGGTAGGTTCTGCTGCCTTCCTGTTTGCTCAGTCTGTATCTTGTAACAGTGAAACCTGTCGAAGACGACCGCGCAAGGGACCTTCGAAATGTGGTCTTTGCCACCAGGTGGTCTCCTTATCCAGGGTTATTTGACTGGAAAAACATCCCTTGGTCCTAGTTGCAGTGGTCTTCTGGGACAGGTGGTCGCCTTGTCCGAGTGGTCGCCTTGACAGGTTTTACTGTATGTGCTAAATGATTTTTGATAACTTCTCACTCGCAGTACTATAGGCCTTATGCACATTGTACAGATGCACGAAATCCCGTATAATCTTGTAGAATCCCGTAGACCCGGTTGGGTGTTGAATGTGCAGGACCCTATTGTGTTTACTGCTATTTCCACTGTGAAATGGGCCATGAAGGCATTTCATACGAAATCTTTTTCCGGCAGTGATCTAGCTAGTCGTTAGTTCAATCCCAAAGTGAAGAAGGCTTGAAAAGTGATCGTTTGCCATGAATTGTGAGGCTAAATGGGTCAAACGCGCATGTATAGCACACAACGAACACCCAACCGGGTATGTACACACCTACGGCCATAGTACAGAACTTCGTACATCTGTACAATGTGCATAAGGACTATAGGCGTGTGCACGCAGGCGCCCGTACGCACCAGTGACATAATCGTCATTCTGTTGCAGACTGGCCCGCTGTCATAGTGTTGAGCATGAGAACATGCAACGTAACAGTAATAATGGTGGTATGTCACTGGCCTCTGTATGGGGTCGTACTTAAAAATCAATATTTTATCATGAAACGGGTTAATTGCGTTTTAACTCCATTTCGCTTCGTGAAAAAGATTGATGCTTATTGACATCTCCTAACCTGGTATGCACATAAAATAAAATGCCGGCTGGCGGAATCTGGTTTCGGCCTTTCAGCCATTCATGTACACCAATGCCGGCTGGCTGACCTCAACTATTCTCATTGGGCCTGAGGATGGGGCGTTAGGAGGGCTGCTGCCCTTAGGCACAGAGTCCATGTTAACTTCAAGAACTTCCTCAGCCATTTCTGTACACTTCATTATGTACAGCTGTGCCCTACTGGTGGAACAACGGTGTGGAGTGTGCCTTGACTCTGATGGCAATTCAGATAAGCGTTTTGTTTGGGGACTTCCATTTTCATCTTGATCTGCACATTTTCCTTGTCCCGAGTGTTGCTTTGCCCCTGCCCATTTCTCTTTTCAAAGCCATCTAATCTTTGCAAGGCCGCTCATGCCAGTTGATGGAAATGGATAGCAAGGTTGTATCACCTGTACAGACTCCGTACTTTTATTTTCCTGTGTGACTTTGTGATGTGATTTCGGACATTCTGTGCAGATGATGAGTTTGATGAGGAGATGATACGGATGAAGGACCAGCGGCACCAAGACAATGCCAAGCTGTTTTCAGCACTGCTGGATCAACGTGAGTAGGAGTGCACGGTCGTGTGACACGTGTCCACCCGCTAATTTGTTGTAACTAGAGCTGAGTCGGGTAGCATTCCCCTCGGGTATTGCTACAATATACTGTGAAACCGGAAAGTCTAACGAGTCACAAAGTCTAACGTTTTAACGAGCAATTTTTTTCGTCATCTGAAGAAATGTTATCACGAACCCGGTTTGCCATGTTTGTGTAAAGATGCGCATACAGATGGGTGGCCAGGTAGCCATCGTTAAACTTTCTGCACGTTATTTTAAATATGCCGTGTGGTTCGTGATCATGGGCAATCCCATCAACATGAACATCAGCAAATACGATCATGTTTTTCTATAAGCAAGAAACGGCGAGGCAACAGTCATTTTAGAATGGCAATATAGAACTGGACTAGCTGAATCAACATATCACGGTAGTTTGTGGAACTGACAACAAGGTACTAAGGATGAAACAACTACACGTTTGAATACCGAATAACCTAAACCTTTATCGATCGGTTGTCGGTTATTTTTTCCATGATTTTGTACAGATAAAACGGTATTGTCTTAAAAACAGTATTGAAACTGAAAAATGCACAATTTAGAATTGCAAAATTGATCCTTTTGAAGAAGAGAATGTGGTTTGTAAACAAGGGCAATGCAATAAAAATAAAATCCGTCCGTACGCCCTCCCCATTTTTTCTGAAAAAAAGGACGATCATCAAGTATATCCTTTGGCTTGGTCTAATACTAGTTTTTATAGTTTTAGTAGTGTGGCCTTGAGGTTGCAAATGGAAGCTGCTGCAGAAACTCCTGCTCCACCAGTCATCAGACCGACATCATGGAAGGAGCTGAAGCACGATGAACTGATAGCCCGTTGTGCCGGGAACTGAAGCTTTGAGCTGACGGGCAGAAAGATGACGTGTGTTGGCCAGGGTGTGCGTGCCTCGGCGATGCAATGTGTGTCGTGCACGTCCTGGCCTGTGAGTTGAGCAGGATTCACTCTGTGGAATGCTGGACAGATGCGGTCAATGCCTTTTGCCTTCAAGTCACCATCAATGAGAACCCCGTGATCCGCCATTACAGCACCACCGGGCTCGAGCGCATAGAGGAGGTCTTTTGATGGCAACGTGATGGGCTTATCATTGGCACGCTCACCTTATGCCTCTCAGATGAAAGAAACGTATCCTGTTGGAGATGTACCAACCAAGAACGTGTAGGTTAAACGGTTATATGATATTTGCAGCTGCTGAACGTTTGCTTTCGGACCGTGAGTGGGGATGCCTGCTGAGAAAAGACTTCAGTACAATCAATTACTTCGAAGTACGATACCTGTACTTGTAGTTGGGAGAGTCGCGAAACAGGGGCAGGGCTGCTCGTCATATCTGTACGCATTGCTCTCAAGCTCCTCACGCTGTGGTGCAGAATAGCACCTTCACAACGGCGGGCACCTCCACCGGAGGGACGCACAAATGCTGAAGGTGGAAACTGCTTTCCTTCCTTCTTCCTCCACTGCCATGACTGGCTCTGTGGCCCCGTAAGGGGCAGACTAGGAGGCGGTGTGTCCACCGGGTGGGGAATGTCAGACTCAGCGCGCACGGGTCTACTACAGCTGTGACACAGCAATACACAACAAAACTTCACCATCGGTGACAAAGTAAAGCGGAATCACATTCAGCGACCAGAAAATCTTAATATAGCTTGACCGGCTTGTCCTCCACGCACCTCCGCTGCGCGACGCCGCAACTGGTCCTTACCCCGGTACACATTTCCACGCAAACAAATTGGAACTGGATTTTAAATGTTTACCTTCAAGATTGGGTGCGGTTCAGACCCTGGAAAGTTCGGTGCTTAGTAGCAGAGGGTACGCTTTACTCCGGCCTCTTTGCACTGACGTGTCACTGTGCATGTACTGTATAGGCACGCACCTGTCTCCACTATTCCCGCATGCCACAGGGGCAGGCCAGATCCCCGCTGTTGACTGATATGATGTGCTTTACGTGTGTTGTGTTATCACAGCTGTCCACACGGCTCTGCACCAGCACCGCCAAGAGACGATATTGCCAGAGGTAACATGCTCTAACTACTTCTTTCTATTGTCTACTTCATTGTGCTGTGTACTGTGGAAGCGCGTTTTTGCTTTCGTGTCACAGATCCAAGAACCTGAAAACATCAAGCCGATTGGTTAGCTTTATTCGAATGCTGGTCCCAGCCGGCCGCATTCTCGTTTGATCTTCGTGCATTCCAGATTGTGTACGAGTCGCTCGAATGCCAGATTTAGGGATGTTCTGAAAGACAGACCTGTGTTCGTATTTTATGCCAGTGTATTCTTGTTTGTCTGGCCTGTACGTTCTTGGTGATCCAACTTGTCTGTAGCTATTCACTGGCGTGCTTGGTATGTCACTCATGCATAATGGAGTCTGTCAGGGATCCTTTTTCAGTTACAGCTGTATGCTAGCACCCAGGTTAGTGATGTTACATATAGGCAGTGCTGCCAAACCGTCCGATTTTTCGGACAGTGTCCGATTTTTGAAGGCTCTTCCGAAAACTGGTCCGAAAAGGGAAACGTCCGAAAAGCAGCCAAAATGTCGGAGATCATTACTTTCCTATGCAGAAGTCCTGTACTTTCACTTTTCAGCGCAACTGAGTCTGAAGGCACAGATCACTGTACATTTGCTTCTAAAAAGGCTATATGCTAGCGCTTGGCTGTGGAAGTGCAAAGTAACATGCCTGGATCAGGCTGGATGGCATGTACGCTGACAGTCTGTACAGAGTCAGTGTGCGACCACACTCATTATTAATTCATGACAACTCAGGGGTTACCATGGCAACGAAGCGAATTTTCATGGTGTTTTAGGCGATATTTTGAATTCTCTGTAAAAAAATTGCCGAGGAGAAAAATTCGCACCATGTGGCCAGCCTTGGCGGTGAAGGGTGTCCGATTTTGGGCGAAAATTATTTGGCAGCACTGTATAAGGTATACAATCATGTACAGTGCTGCTCAATGAAATCCAGTCATGTTACTCTAGTTTGTGCCTTGCACCATTTCTCAGCCCTTTGTTCGCAGGTCTAGGGCTGCGCAGCGCCCGGCGTTTACTCGATTGACGCGACTAGATTTCTTTGAGCAGCACTGTACTTTGAAGTACAGTAAAACCTGTAATGGCGACCACTCGGATATGGCAACCACTCGACCATGGCACCACTTTTCCTTGTCACGGACGCATTCACATTCAAAACAACTCGGATAAGGCGACCACTCGCTCAACGCGACCAACGACCACCCATCCACGACCGCGTTGCACCCTGCTAGTAGAACAATGTCATGTAAATGTACGCATTGCATGGTGCACCATGCATGGTTACGTATTGGTAGATCTACACATCAGCGCAGGAAGTGTAGATGTACATGGTGCATGCACGACACTTGACAGATCTGAGGCCGTGAGGACTCCAGGCACCTGAGTCGTGCTAGAGTAGCATAGGTGTGTGCAGTGTGATGCACTGATCAAAATGATATATTATCACATGTATTATAAGTGGATATGGTCACGTGACCCACTGAACCTGGATAAGAAACCCACCTGGCCAAGGCGACCACTTTTCTCGTCCCTTGAGTGGTCGCGTTAGACAGGTTTCACTGTAGTGTCCACCCAGGATCAGAATATGGTGCAGCAGTCATGTCAACTGTGGGAAGGCTGTTTCCGCCTTCGTGCTCCCTGGCCGCATGACTGTGTTCTGTATGCTGCGAGTACTGTGATGATGGGCCTTCCTCTTGTCGGACCCTAGCAGCTGCTCCCCGCCATACCCACTGGAACATCAGACAATGAGTGTGTGTTTCAGCATGTGTGGGCTTCACGTGTGAAAATCCTATTCACGTGTGTGTATGGTTAAAAAAAAAACAAAGGATTACCATAATTAAAATGGCTCACCATCCGTGTTCAACATGTGTGTATGTGATTTTTTTGTATTTGGATGTCTAGGCTGACATTGGCGTCGATCTGAATGCACTGGCAAAGAACTTGTGCTCTATTCCTGTGCACACTCGCCTCGACATCAGTGAAGACCACCTTTCTGTAAGTAACGAGTAGTGAAAAGCTCAGCATATTGATTCTTGAAGGACTTAACCCTGCACCGTAATTTTGGCTCGATGTTTTTGCAAGCCTATATCTTCGCAACCGTTAGAGATGATGTATGGACAAAAGTATGTATTCTGAATGGCAAGACACAGCAAAATCCGATTTTTGCATTTTAAGTCAGAAAAATCTATTACAGTCGTCCCTCTCTAATCCGGCACTTGTTTATCCGGAACCCTTGCCAACCGGCGCACTTTCTGACGAAACCGATTTTTTTCGTTCAATTCCTACATCTTAATCCGGCACTTGAATTCCGCCTCCGGCAGTGACTTTTTGAAACGAATCGCTCAAACTGCACGTAGTTTGATTTCCTAATCCGGCAGTCGTAAATCGCGTACCGTACAGGTGCACTCCTTGCCAGGCCAGGCTAGGCCAGTCTGGTCAATGTTGTCCAGGAGACAACGGCAGTCAACCATACTTTCTTATTTTAGCAAGGAGTAGTGTCCTGCCAATTTTCAGGTGTGTGTGTGTGTGCAAGAGTACATGTGAACATGTTCTCTGTTTTACTTTATCACTATCACTGTGTATATTCCTGGAGAACAATTGAGAATATAAAGCCGTGCACCAAATACTTGGGTCGACACGGAAAAACCCTGCGTTTTGACGTACATATGATACATGCATGCAATTGGGTAGGGCTGGGTCAGAGGGCAGGATTTCTTAATCCAGCACCCTCGTTAATCCAGCAGAAAACGCCGTAGCAAAAGGTGCCGGATTAGAGAGGGACGACTGTATCAATAGAGAGGTTCCGCATAACGTAATTACGTTAGTAAAAAACGTAGTCGAGATCTACAGAAAATCTTACGTAAACTGCATGCGCATCTGTGTTCCGCCATACGGAGTTTTCAAATCACGTAGCTGCCCTTGGCAACTCTGAACGCGGCAGTGTACGACCAGATCGACCTGGGGAGAGAGTCATAAATTTGTACCCCAATCCACTTACGGACCAGCTACGTTATCAGAGCCCTATCTACGTACTCTACGTAGACAACTTTCCGTAAGTGGAGTGCAAACTCGCGAATTCACGGGTTTTCCCCGCCCACTAACGTAAAGTTGCTCAACTTTACGTAGTGCGGAACCGCTCTAATTATTGCAAAAAAATGCGGCAAAAGCATTTTTCAGCCACAGTTCAGTACATTTGGTAGTGTATTTCCAGATATATCACACCCATCACCATACACTGCAGTTGTTCCCACACATGGGTAGAAGAAAATCACACTCACAGCCGGGTGATGAAGAAATAGTGTCAATACGCAGAAACATCAAAGGACGGCAAACATGCGCAAGCGTACGAGATAAAGCAGATAGGCAGCATGATCAGAAGTGAACATAACAAAGTCGATTGGGCAGCAGGGGAGCGCCTCAGGAACGCAATGACTCACTATATTCCAAATGATAAGGTTGGGTGGGCAACTTCAACCACCAAAAGGAGAAACCACGACGGCAGGTTCTACATAATACCGCAGAACAAGAACATATTTGTGAATAATTGCCACGGTCCAGCGTGAAAATAAAAGGGCTGATGAGGCAATTTGAGCCATGATGGCATTGGCTAGCACAAAATTGGACCAGTGAAGGTTGCATACATTGTACATTGCTCACGGAAACTTTTGGAGGTGATACCTGTCAAGACAGCCTCTCACTCCGACGTGCAAGAACACCCCGCAAAAAGCCTTGCAGAAGGTTACGGTCTTGCGCTGCTCCTTATCTTCTTCATAGCAGAGAACACACTGCTTCCTGTTGGCGTCATGCTTTGGCGTGTGCATGGTAGCACCAGCACCTGGAGCTTCAGCGGGTGGCTGAGGTGGAGGTGGTCTGTAGCGGCGTGTCGGAATGTAATGCCGGTAAGTTCACGAACCAGATGCTCTTGAAAGGAACTGTGCGGGTTGCGCTTCCGTCGATTTATCACGCCAGGGTGTGCTGGTCTCTGCCTGCCTCTCCTCTACCTTCCTCAGCATGAACCAGATTCAGTAGCCAGTCTGCAAAGTTGCAAACATTACAGTTCCATCATCCTGTACGAATTGATAGCTGCGATATCGACCATGTCGTAGAAGATAGTACGCCAGCTTTTGCGCGTGCGACGGAGGGTGAGATAAGCTCCGACCATATGGTTGAAACTATCAACACCCCCCCCCCCCCCCCATCGAGGTGCTGTAGTCAGAGACACTGACACACTGTGGCACGTGCAGTTCAATATGGTGTCCAGTAGCATCCTTTCCCTGCTGTCTGACCAGAACGGAGTCCTGGCCAGTGTGTGCTGTGGATACCATTGATGCAACACACTTGTCTTTCTGTTGTTCATGTAGAATTTGGCCTGCCTGCACGTATCGAATGGAGCCATGGTCATCATGGCGTTCAAAGGCCTTCATGTCCCTCTTCATCTGCTCTGGAAATCCTCTCCTGTTTGATCGAATAGTGCCGACGAGGTGGCAATTGCGTTGCAGGAGGGAGGTTGTTAGTTTCTCTGATGTATAAAAATTATGGGTGAAGAGAGCATGCTCTTGCTGGCCACAGTCCTCCATCAGCCGTAACACAACGTTATGCACCAGGCCACCGTCGGTTGCTGCTTGGCCGGTGTAGACTTCAAATTTACACAGAATGAAAGTAGCAGCGTCGCATAATGCGAAAACCTTGAAGCCCCACTTGGTGGGCTATGCAGGCATGTACTGCCGCATGATGCGGCCCTTGCAGCGTATCATGCACTCGTCAATAGAAACATTCTGCCCTGGCTTGAACAATGCCCTGCACCGCTCACGCATGTGGTTATATAGAAACCGAACTTTACGAAGCCTGTCATCTTATTGTTCGGGGCAGTGTGATCAACTACCTGAAAAACACAGCAGGGCCTTGAAGCGGTCACAGGACAGCATAGCAGCAGCATAATTGCCAGGAAACAGAGATGTGCCCGTGAATCTCTGCCACTGGCAGCTTGTACCATGCCTTAAATATCACCAAGCCAACGAATTTGTAAATTTCATCCCTGTTCGTTGGTGTCCACCCACCATCCTTGTTCTGGTGAGAACGGCGCTGTGCAATGGCATGTTTCTCAACGTGGACTGCGTGCGTTTTTCTACAGGACAAGCGACTTCATCAACTTTATTATTGAGAGGCAGTGCAAAAGGCTGACTTAGTAATTCACTGAGGTCATCACCTGTCTTGTTCTTCAGCAACTTCTTTCTCTGCTCTCCGAGGCGCCCCATCTTGTTACTGGCCACTTTCGCATTCACCATCTCGAAATCCTTTCCATCCACAGCTGGCACTATCAAAATCAAACTATGCCAACTGTAATTTTTACTTGTCGCCCACAACAAGAGTTCGACAACTAGGCCATTCGTCAACTGCCCGGGACAACACAGAGAAAGCCGGCTCTCTTCAGAATTAGAGTCCAAAGCCGCCTGCAAACTTGAGCACCTCAACAGCAATTTTTCGCACTGAGGCCCAAGTTCTTTCTTCTCCACTTCCATACTGCGCGCAATGGCGTTCAACTTCAAAACAATTTCCGCGAACGACCGTGATCCTTCATGGAGTCTGAAGGAAGCTACCTAGACTAAATTGATGCCGTAGATCTGATTTTGACTGCCATTTGAGCGTGCAACCAAGGCAAAAACGTCAAAGGCGACTTTGAAATCTGCAAGAATCTATCGAGATACGTAATGTCGACACGAATTCGACGTGTGAGGCACCAAACAAAAGCTTGAAACCTATTTATCCACGGTGCGTCGATAAAAATGACCTTAACTCACTCTGAAACCTCAAATTTACGCCGAAGAGCGTTCCGCTCCTCTCTGCCATGCCTGCCATTCAAAAAGCATGCAGGCATGTCCAGGCAGTTTTGCCTCCGTAGATCACGTGACTTAAGTCTCTACTTAGAGGCCATTCACACGACTACTTGAAAAGCATGCAACACTGGTTGATAATGAAGTAGGAGGCAGTCAAAACCCATGTTCCCGTGCGGGAACCCTGGTGGGATACACCGATTTACGGTTGGCTGAATCATAGATCACACCCATGTCTCTCTTATCCGGGTGGTCTGGGACCAGACACTGCCCATAACTAAGCTAGTATGGCCAGTTACTTGGAAATGTCCGTTTGACTCACGTGCGTTTTAATGGAGAAGTACCGGAGATCTGGCATCTGATGTCACTGTTTGGCGCCCGTATCTTAGAGGTCCGGATAAGAGAGATATGTGAAAACTGAAAAGCCTTAGAAAAGGTGCAATCACTGCCAAGTGTGATCATGCGAAAGCGTGAGATCTTCACCACTGTGTATTGAAAGTCATATAATTTGTGGTCTTGTTGAACTTTCCCATCTCTTTTATATACATATAGAGTACCACTATCGCTGAATTCCAACGTAGTGCTAGTGAGAGTGTAAAATCCTCCACTGCTACGGCCGACCGACTGGTTCGCGGCACGGAGATTGCACCCGCACCCATTCAGCAGTACATTGCAAGGGCAAGGAACCAGGATCTGTCTGCTGTTGCGGATACTGCTGCACTCAGCAATAGCAGCATTGGGGAGCGGAAAAGCATGCCACAGTCCGATCATGGCCCTCGTCACTCTGCTCCAACTGCTCACGCACCAGTCCAACAGGTTTCTACTCCGCAACAGTGTGGTCCGGATGCTGAAGTCGATGGGAAAGATGGCGATGATAATGCTGTGCTGGATGCTTTATTAGCCCTGCCAACAGCACCAGCCACACCGGCAGCAGTTACCTCGACTAATGCAACCACTGCACCTGCACGAGCACGCGACCAGAAGCCAGCCCCGAATGCGACAAATAGACTGCAGACTGGGAGCAATGCAGCACATTGCGCACCCACAGCATCGCCGACCAGTGTTCTTGTCGAGTCCACAACTGCCAGTAGTCCATCCACTGCAGCCACTGCAAGTTCTGGACAGAACCGTGTGTCGTCGAGCAGCACGTTAGCCAAGCCAACAACAAGTGCCAGTATGGAACAACGCGTAGCCAACAAAGGTGCTCCGGTTGCGGCACTTGGAGCCGGGCCTGTGAACGTTGACACTGTAGCAACGAGTAAACGTGCAGCAGCTGTTGCAGCAGCGGCGGCGAGTGCAGATGACCATGACGATGAATTGGACTTCCTGCTTGCTTTGTAGACTGTAGTACAGCCACAGCAGCAGCAGCAGCCATGCTGCTATGCCCTGTGCTAGACTCAGAATATGCACACGTAGCTGTGATGATCCTTCTGTTTGTAGTATAGTTGATAGAACTCTTTATTCTCACGCTGTCGCTGTTCATGTTCTTCTGTAGGAGCTGGTCTCCGACAATCTTCCGTCCAAACCCACTCATTGGCGTGCATTGGCAATCATCATGTTTGCTTCTTTCTTTCTCCTTCACTGCCTTGTGTGGGCAATCATCACTGAAAATGTATAAAAGAATTATGTGATTCCTTATAGGAATGGGTTTGCTCCCACACTGGAGCTCGCGCTATTCCGCCAACTTGACTTGACACTTGATTCCTTATGTTATTTCTATAACTTAGAACCTTTCAAGTTAGCTGGAAGGCTGTTGGAGTGCGCATCCAAGACGTGCTAGAGCTGTTAGCCAGTTACATGTAGTTGTAGAACGTCAGTGCCGTCGGTGTAATGTTATCGCATGAGCTTATTGTTGAGTAACTGGTGGTGTGTGTGGACAGTACAGCATAACCAAGAGTATATTATACTCTTGGCGTAACTTGTAGTTCCTTGGTCCTTTTTCTTTTCTGTACATTGATTCATACACGTTTTTGTTTCGATACTAGTAGTCATCAGTGAATGGTTACTACATCGAATGGTGACGTGCCTTAGGGACCATCGCAAAAGTTCGCAGAAGCCCCCGAAACGAAGACCGTTAGTTTCGGGCCTGACCCCCCTCCCTCCCCCCTCAAACGAAACGACAGTCACAATATGGGCTTCATTATTTCACTTGGATGCTCACACATAATAATTATTATAATATACTACACAAGCATTGTTGTATCAGTGTGTAACAATGTACAGCACTTTATAAATGCAACGATGATATCACCTTGCAGTGGGTGATCTAAGAACGAGAACAGCTAGAGCTATGCAGTTGTATCCTTTGAGCATGCTAATCTATATCAGCTCCTACATGTCGTCAATACTTTTTGAATTGAAGCCCGGTTTGCGATTTTCGATACCGACTCCCTCCCCCCCCCCCCCCCCCCAAACGTATGCTCTTCGTTTCAGGGTGCGAACTTTTGCGATGGTCCCTTACAGCAAGTATTAGTTACAGGTGAATAAAATATTGAATTTGTGCTGAAACAAACTTTTCTTTAGTTTCATTCGTTGGTTTCAGGTTATCAAGACAACAGTTTCCAAACACTCAGTGTCAGACGAAACCGAGTCTGCTCTTCAGCAGGAAGATAGGATTTAGCAAATTTTAGGATCGTTTCTCGTTTGCGAGTCACGACATAAAAAGACGTGCATGCAGAGCGCTTTCGTTACTACCGCAACACTAGTTGCTAAGTGAAATATGGCGGTTTGAAGGATGTTTTTCCGCTGAACTAAAAAATTAATATTTACACGGAAACAATAAAGTAGCTGCTACCTACCTAAAAATGCGGACGGCCGCTGAGCAAATTCACGAATCAAATAATCCACTCCCTATTTTGTTCGGTACGAGGACAGTCCCATTGAAACCGTGAGGAGTAGTAGAGTAGGCCGTACTGATTAGTTAGTTACTAGAGCTAGTAGTAGTTTGCAATCTTCCCGGGGCCCCATGTGTTTCCTGGGATATTCGAAGTTCATCGGAGCGAAGGTCTATTTTTTTATTGCATATCGGCCAGAAACTGGAGGCATGCGACATGGGGCACGCGCATGTTGGTAGCCTCTTTTAGGAGTACATTGTGATGGACGAAACCGATGAGCCCGATCGCAAGCCAGGAAACTGAGCAGTTTCCAAACAACAGAGGCTGCTCTTCGGCAAGCTAGGATTGCTGCTTGCGCCGTGAGCGGAACGCGTCGCATTGGTCTTGGTGCTGGCGGCACTAAATACATTGTCGCGGAGTGAGTGACTGTGTCATGACGAGTGGAGTCCTGGGCCGGGCATATATCACACAAGCAGCAGCAGCACTCATTGGGCGGCAAAGCGCACACTGCACAGTGGGGAAAGTGCAGCGTGTGGTCATTCATGTAGGCGCCCTGGCTGGGATGATCGTCTGCCATGATGTTCCGTTTGTGCGTCATTGCAGCAGCAGCAGCAGCAGTTGCAACAGTTATGTGACTGGTGAGCAAAGTGACAACGAAAGAAACCAGAATGGTGCTGTTGGAGGCAGTGGCGGGAATAGCAACTGCGAGCCCCGGTCACGTATAGTCGCCGCGCAATGCGTGCAGCTAAGGCAAATGCTGAAGCAACATTTTGTTTTTCGCAAGCAGGTTGCCGGACACTGGATGCCGGGCAAGATGCGTATACACGAGGCATTTCAGTTGTATCACAAGCTGCGCTCGCATGCGCTGGTTGACCAGTTGGAGATCCATGTACCAACTCAGTTTCTTTCCCTGTGGCTCGAGACATGTGATGAGGAGGCGAAGATGCTGCCGACTCACGATATGGCGGAGCTGCTTCAAGCTTCGTATCGTGTCCCATTTCGCTATGATGCGTACGAGGAGAAGTTCGTGTCGCTCGTGTTTGCGGCCTTTGAGCTGAAGTGCCAGGAGGTTGTGGAGAGGAATGATGATGCGGACTTGATTGTCGTCAAGTGGCGTAATCTGCTCAGGCTGGTTGTCGTGCTGAAGACGGCTTTTCCCAATGCACCCAGTGACACATTCTGCCAGCGTTTGGAGAAGTAAGTGCATGGTGTGTTGTCATGCACATCAATACATGTACAACCACGCAGTGCTAGCAACTCTGACTGGGATATTCAAAGTAGTGCAGCTACTGCAGTATTTTCCGGAGTATAAGTCGCACTTTGAACACTTAAAATTCATCCAAAAAAGGGGGTGCGGCTTATACTCCGATGATCAAATTAACGGTGATAAATAAATAGGGTAGATGTCTGTATTTCGTGGCAAAACAATGGGGGTGGGGGGGGGGGAGGGTGCGCCTCTCTCTCTCTCTCTCTCTCTCTTTCTCTCTCTCTCTTATTTTTCTTTCTCTACTGTTCACTTTCACTGTCTGTGTGCCTCCTGCAGGGCGTTTTCCATTCGCATACTGACATTTGCAAAGCCTGAATGGCTGGTTGATATACTGGGCAGTTTCCTGCAGCTTGGGCCATGCAGCCACCCTTATCTACTAGGCAACATGGCCTACCATATGCCAAGCAAAACCTCATTTGTAGGCTACATGAAGACATTGAGTCAGATGGTCGAAGAGCCTGCACATCGTGCTCTGTTGGTGCGCCTGGTCAGAGCCAGACAGGTCAGTGACTTTGTTATCTAGTCAGAGCCAGGCCCAGGGAGGTCAGTAACTGTGTTATGTAGTCAGAGCCAGGGACGTCAGTGACTTTGTTATCTACTGTAATTTCACAAATTTTCGGTGTACTTTTATTTTCGGTACTTTCGGTGCATCTGTTTCATACCTAAATTTTCAATACACCGAACAAACACCAACACACATAATCCAATAGGGAACTGCTTCTCTGTGCCTAAAATTTCTGTTCACCTAACCTGGCATTTCCCCCTCATACCGAAAATATTGACCACCGAATATTTCTGAAATTAGAGTATTTAGAGTCAGGGAGGTCAGTGACTTTGTTATCCAGTCAGAGCCAGGGAGGTCAGTGACTTTGCTATCTAGTCAGAGCCAGGGAGGTCAGTACCTTTGTTATGTAGTCAGAGCCAGGGAGGTCAGTGACTTTTTTTCATGATTTGTTAATTAGTCAGAGACGGGGAGGTCAATGGCTTTGTTAGCCTCTGTACTACAGGGCATAGATTAACGGCCGGACATCGGACACTTTCCGGCCATTTTCGGCCACTGACTGGACGTTTTCAATTTCACCGGACATAGTGTCCGGTCAAAAAGTAAAAAAAGAGCAGCGACCTTTCGACCTTTTTATGCAGAGTTGGGCTTTCTTCGGAGCTTCGTGCCAAATGAGACTTGCATGTTGTACAACTAACACGTACACCGTAGTCTCAGGCGTAGACTTCACTATATTTACTTGATCCGCCTACTAAAAAAAAAAAGAAAGAAGAAACACCCCGAAAATGTGTTGTGGAAAATGTCCGGGCATGTCCGGACAGATTTCAAAACGGAAGGCAGGGATGAATTTATCCGGTATCGCATCGCAGTTTGCTATGCAAAATTGATCTACTGCTACTCAAAAATCACCGCGACTAGCAGAAAACTGCGATACATACAGGCCATCCATGCCTAGCTTGCGCCGTCAAGTAACAAAACTGCTATGCAAAAAAATATCAGTAAATTCATCCCTGGAAGGACATTTGTCCGAGCTAAATGAAATCCTTAAGCTATGCCCTGTACTATGAGAACAGTAATCCAGAGGTAGGGAGTTCAATCGAAAACCAAATTCGCGAGTTTCGCATAAAACACTAGTTTTTCTAAACCGGGAAGATGTGAGAAACAACCTGTGAAAATTTGAACCTAAAATTCCAAGGCAATCTAGAGTTATAGTCGATTGAAGATCGGAATATGGGGGTGAAAACAGTCGCGGCAGTAAATTCAAGTATGTATGTGGGTCGTGTGGTTTCCGTCCAGCACTGCACTATCTGCTGCATACATGGTGATACAGGATGTGTGCATCCATGCAGTGTGCACGCTCTGCCGTACGCGCCTACTTGCACAAGTCACACGTTTTCACCGTCACTGCTTCTACGGTGTGCACGCAGTTCACTCGATTTTTTTCGTCAACCACCAGGAAATTGCCGTGGGCTGATTTCTGTGATCATTTTCCTTCTACCGCGATAAAGCGCGAGCCTAAATGTTCTAGAATCCTCTTGTTTTAGACTAATTCGAGGCCGCTGAACACGAAAATCGGGTGTTCCTCGCGGGGCCGAGTACGCATCTCGCCGAAATTAGTACAGTGAAACCTGTCTAAGGCGACCCCTCAAGGGACGAGAAAAGTGGTCGCCGTGGCCAATTGGTCTTCCTATCCAGGTTCAGTGGGTCACGTGACCATATCCACTTTTGGTACTCATTTTGATCAGTGCATCACGGTGCACACGCCTATGCTACTCTAGCACGACTCATGCGCCTGGGGTCCTCAGACCTGTCAAATGTGGTGCATGCACCATGTACAGTCCGTATCGCCTATAAGGTTGGCGGCTATAGTAATATACCGGATATAGTGATCAATTTCTCAAATTCATTTTCATTTGCCATAACTAAGTATACAAAGTTATCGCGTATAGTAATAATCGTCTATAGTAATATATCGCCTATAGTGATCAAATTCATATTTCAAAAGACGTTTATTACACTATTTTTGCATCGGTTATAGTGATTGATGTGAAATCAAGCGATGTCAGAGGAGAACAGGGTGTTACTTCTTCGTGAAGAACTTGTCCAATGAGTGTTGTTTGGTGAGTTTTGCTTGTACAAGTTGCCAAAATATGCCTCCATCATGAGGAAATCCTGATTTTGTGTGTCCGGAGCTACAGCCAGCTACATGTACATGACATTGTACATGTATGTAGTGCGTATGTGCACGGCGCGCTGAGTCGTTTGACACCCCACTCGCATACATTGCATGCAGTATCGGTCATAGTAATATATCGCTTATAGTGATAAAATGCTCAAAATCAAACACCAACGCTATAGGCGATACTGACTGTACATCTACACTTCTGCACTGATTCGTAGATCTACCATGCCTGGTGCACCATGCAATGCGTACATTTACATGACTAGCACTGTGCAACCCGGTCGCGGGTGGGTGGTCGTCGGTCGCGTTGAGTGAGTGGTCGCCTAATCCGAGGTGTTTTGAATGTGAATGCGTCCGTGACAAGGAAAAGTGGTCGCCATAGTCGAGTGGTCGCCGTATCCGAGTGGTCGCCATTACAGGTTTCACTGTACTTCGAAGTGCATCCGCGCGAAGCACGGAGGCATTCTTTTTGGAAGCATGGCAATGCGTGGCACCATTGGAAAGGTAATGACCTCAGCTACCTAAAAATAGCATCGACAAGGCCGAAAAGGCTGTGGGAGAAGATATTCGGGCCTCGAACTGCATCCCGAACTGCTGCCACAAGGCGCCCATTCACTTTGTACAGGCGAGCTGTGACGGCATTTTTTGCTTTTCTGCGACCGGAACTGAACTCCCTACCAGAGGGGACCGGTACCCATAGCACTAGACAGACTCCATTAAATTTTCAACTGAGTTCAAAGGTCGAACTCTGACCTTTAGACCAGGACCTTCTGATAAGGTTCTGAACAGAGTTCCCGCACTACAATAGCAGGCGCGTGCTCGGCGATGGGCACGGGGGGCACGTGCACCCCCCAAAAATTTTCAATCTGGGTAATTGCAATTGTAATGTATGCAAATATGCTCTAAAATTCAAGAAAGGTTGCAAACAAATTGCAGAAAATTGCCGGGGGGGGGCTCCCCTCGGCTCCCGTGCACCCCCCCCTAGTTGGGGGGCCGAGCACGCCCCTGAATAGGAACTTATATACACCAAAGAGATTATTGATTAATGTTATAGTGATGATCTGTTGTGTGTGTGCTCTACAGTTGACGACACACGTGGCGGCATGTGTGGAGCAGTTTGGCTGGCCAGCATTCCTCGCCGGTGAACCCTTTTTCCGCTGGACCGTGCAACACATTCGCGGCTTTCCGTACTACCAGGAACTACTGCGTACCTGGGCTGTCGCCTTGGAGCACTACTATCCCGGCAAGGCTGGCCTGGATATGCTGTCGCTGGCGCTCCTGCACGTCCGCTGGTTACGGGAACTGAATCGAACAAGCGAGCGACTGCCGCCGCTTCTTCTACACATCTGCCGGCAGAGCGAGCTGAGACTCTCCCTTGCTCAGCTCGGTCAGTTGCTGTGGCTGCTGTCGGACAGCGGCATGGGCATATCTGGTGCTCAGCTACACCAGCTGCTCCTACGGTGTTATGTACGCGAAACTGAGCTGTGCGATGAGCAGTTGGTCAGCTCGGCCTGGGGAGAAATATTTCACTTTCTCGGCTCGATGCGCTTCACGTCTGTCGATGACATGGCTCAGTCGTTCTCCTGTCTTTTGCTGCCCTATAGCCGGGCTGTGTTTGACTGCTTACCCAAGCTCATTGTGTTGGACTATTCAGCTACGATCAGCTGCTTTGTCGACCTAGCATGGGTACCGCACTCACTTGCCAGATTGTTAGTTCACAGACTTATATTCACGCTCAGCGCGCACATTCGCTGTGTGGTGGAAAAGCAGCTCGACTCTCGCCAAGTACTGAGGTCCTCTGTTGGTGGTGAACTGCTGGAGGTCGCCGTCATCACTCAGCTCATGCTGGTAGCTGTGTGTGGCACGGACGTCAAGGTGCCCGAACAGTTCTGTCTTTTCGTCAGCCGTCACGCAGAGCACCTCCTGGAGAAAAGCAGAACGTCTCGTCACGTCTGCCTAACGCTGGCCCTGCTCTGCCATGCGTCCACCTTGCAGCACCAGCCGCTGTTCACGGAGGTGCAGAGACAGCGACTGCTTCTGGCCGTCGTCGACGTCCACCGGAAATTCAAAATGTCTCTTCGAGTCCAGGCTAGTGCCCCGGGCGTGTCCCTTCTGAGCCGAACTGACTGCGTGACTGCCACTGGCTTGCCACTACCCATCATTGCACTGATGGGACCCGATGGCAAACATATGCCATGGCCTACAAAGCAACCATGTGACACAAGTAAGCCTGGAACTTCCAATACTAGTATGTCCTACGTTATCCACGAATCAGTGGACGATCTGAAGAGAATGTATGGTGCTGCACGGTGCTTAGTCCTCGTGCCTTTCGACAACACTGCCGACTATCTTCCTGATTATTTTCGCCGTGCGGTCTCAGCCATGCTGGAGAAAGCGGGGTGGCTCATTTCGTCATCATCTTTGCCATTCCCAGTTGTGCCTCGCTCGAATCCTGGAGATAACATGCCTGCTGCACCTTCGCCTACCCAAGTAGATTCACATTGGCAGCCGAAGATGGATGACGGCGACATGGCCAGTCTGGTTGCAGTGCACGACCCTCACTCCGGATCGCAGTCGTCCAGGCAAGCAACTGCAGACTATGTGAAGACCGTGCCTGCTTCGCCTTCTCAGCCTGCAACGGGTCACTTCGTGGACATGTGGCAGAAGCGCAAGACTCTTCAGAAGGGAGACAGCAGTGATACAGGAGGCACACGCTTGCCTCACTTGCAGCAGCAGCACAAGCAGCAGCAGCAGCAACAACAGCAACAGCAACAGAAGCAACAACAACAACAACAACAACAACAACAACAACAACAGCAACAGGAACAGCAACAGCAACAGCAGCAACAACAACAACAACAACAACAACAACAACAACAACAACAACAACAACAACAACAACAACAACAACAACAACAACAACAACAACAGCAGCAGCAGCAGCAGCAGCAACGGCAACAGCAATGGCATCAACAACAGCAGTATCAGCAGCAGCAGCAAAGGCAGCATTTTCATCACCACCAACAGCAGCGTCATCATGATCAGCAGCAGCAGCAGCAACAGCAGCAGCAGCATCAATGGCTGCACCAGCAACTACATTGGCAGAAGCGCAAGACTCTTCAGAAGGGAGACAGCAGTGATACAGGAGGCACACGCCTGCCTCACTTGCAGCAACAGCACAAGCAGCAGCAGCAGCAACAACAGCAACAGCAACAGAAGCAACAACAACAACAACAACAACAACAACAACAGCAACAGCAACAGCAACAGCAGCAACAACAACAACAACAACAACAACAACAACAACAACAACAACAACAACAACAGCAGCAGCAGCAACGGCAACAGCAATGGCATCAACAACAGCAGTATCAGCAGCAGCAGCAAAGGCAGCATTTTCATCAACACCAACAGCAGCGTCATCATGATCAGCAGCAGCAGCAGCAACAGCAGCAGCAGCATCAATGGCTGCACCAGCAACTACACCAACAATCACATCAACAATATCAATGGCCCCAGCCACGGCAAGAACGGCCTCGCCAGCAACAGAAAGAGCATTCAGAACAACTGCAGCACCATCATGAGAGATTGGCTGAGCATCTCTGGCTAACGCACAATGGTCAAGAAGCTATGTCTGTGAGCAAAGACCAGGGAGCTGAAGAGAAGTTGTTTGCGGATGTTTCTGTCAACCGACTGCCGCATGACGCGTGGCACTGGGATTCACTCAAATCTCGGTTTGTCCTAACACCTAGGCCCTTATAGCGTATAAGATCTTCCACAGCATGAGTTCCTGTTCCTGGCTAAAGTTTTCCTGGAGTCTTGAGTACACTGTTTATATCGACTTCATTTATTTATAAATTTTTATGTTTCTACGCTGCTGTTTTCACACGCTATTTGGCTGTCGAAACACTATTCTGTGCTGTTAGTTTGAGAGAGAAGTTGAAAAGTTGAAAGCAGAAAGGACTGCATTTTCGTATTCTTCGGGTTCATTCTTCATCTTGACAATATAGACACGATGTATGATTATTGATACATGTTTGTTATAAGTGGAGTCGACTGTATCAGACTGCTGTGAGTGTGTAGTTGACTCTGGCACATGTTGCATGCGTGGCTGGTCACCTGCATGATACCAGCCGCTCAGGAGTAGAGTGCATGCACTTGTATAGTATAGCCTGAGTAGTCACTATAGAGTCTATAGAGTGTAGTAAATGTTCATGGGCAGAAGGCTTCAAGCCTGCTACATATACGGCCACACTTAGAGTTAGACCGGGCGTGCACACGGGGATATGAGATTATGCGGAGACTGGCATGTATAATAGCTTGCAAGGGGGATATGGCCATACAATGCACACCCTTTCTTCTTTCCTTGTACCACTGCCGTGTCCGGCTATGTGACCACCAAAGGGGCAGACTAGGATTGTGCTGTCCATCCGGGCGCTCGACGGGAGTGTTTTGTCGCGTAACATTTCTGGCGATTTTCATCCTGCCGTCGACGAAAACTACGGTGGCATACCGGGCATTGGAACGGCAATGCACGCACACACACCATGTACCACACACCGTGAACCTTGCATGCCATTGCCGTAGCAATGATAGCGATGGCTTCCTCAAGCTAAGGCTCTACACCTGAAATCTGCAGTATGGCACATGCTGCTTGAGGTTACCAGGACGAGGTACACACACACACATACACGACAGTGCAATGGATTCATGACCCGCCACAGATTGTGGTTGAGAAATCCTGTCCCTGTGGCCAGATGCATGTGCAGCTGGAACGGCTGGCTGTGCATTCCACGTACACGTAACAGTGTATTTACTCGCTTCCCCACTATTATAGTCTATGTGATGGCTGTTGCGGTTTAGCAGTAAGCAAGGGACACCTATCCAAGTTCACCCCCTGCAAGCGCCGTAAATAATACCCGAAGATGTCATACAGGCACGTCTTGCATTGATGACACACAGGCTATAGGCGCACGGCGGCATCTTCACTCCACGCAAAATCACAGTCACATCATATGGCCCCCTCCAATACACACTACACACATATGCAGGATACCTTGCCAGCTAGGTTGTAACATTGCCATCCACATATCCACACATTCAATGGTTCAATAACGTAAAGACAGGCGGCGCAGAGCCACAGCGCTTCACACTCCGGATAGCAGGCCCAGGTATTGCGCTCAAATAGCAGAGGCTATCAATACCGAGGCAGTTGATGATTAGTAAAAAAAACCAAGAAACAGCAGGGAGTCTCATGTAAATTATTGAAGATGTGAAGAATTCGTCTTCATTTCGGTCCGCAGATGGAAGCAAAGTTCAAGCAAGCTACTCAACTGCTATAGAAAGAGACGCACATGCAAGAAAAAATCCTTAATAGATACATGGTTAAAACTCAAAGCACAGCTTTGGTTGATCCGAACAAGCAATCAATAAAAAAGAAGCTAGGTAATGCTGAATTATGTTGTAAGCTACCATGATTACTCTAGCCACTATACCCATGCTCTCTCTGTGAGATATTGCTCATGAAAATTAAAATAAAACAACGAACTACCATGAAGTCAAATAACGTTAGCCAGGTGTCCGGAGAGAAAAAGGTTTAAAAAGAAAGAAAAGGAAGATCACAGAGTGTGTATTTCATGACAACACATGGTAATAGCTATGAGGACAGTCCAAACAATCTGGTGCAGAAAATACAGAAGGGAGACAGCACTGAAGCAAGCAATAAGGGAACAGATAGAGATTTATATAGATTGATAGATAGAGCAGGAGTGAGAGAGAGAGAGAGAGAGAGAGAGAGAGAGAGAGAGAGAGAGAGAGAGAGAGCAGGGCAGAAGACGGCACTAAGGGAGAGGGGACAGGGAACTAAGCCGGAGGCTCACAATTCCTGATGAGCGGTTCCAGAGAACTAGAGACACATTCTCACAACAGGAAAGAAGTGGTGCGATCTAGCGGGACACTGAAGCTGACTTGAAAATATAGGGACTATCGGCCAAGGCTCTGGTCATGTAGTCCTGAACACCTTCGGAGGTGGCTGCCACCCGCTGGCAGGTTACGTAGAGCTTGCGGACGCGTTCCAACTCCATCTCTTCGACAGCTTTCACGTCTGACATGGCCTCCTGCTGCAGCATTTCGAGCGCGGTTATCTCACGGGCATGTTGAGTCAGTGCTTCAGTTCGCACCTGTACAGCTGACTCCACTATCTTGTTGCTATACTCACGAATCTTGCGCTGAAGCTCTTCTTTGTCGGTGACTTTGCGCTTCTGTTCTTCCTTGTACTGGTGTGACTTCTGTGCATTCTCTTTCTGGTTGGTAGAGATGAGTGCTGATAGGTTTTTCTTGTGCGCAGACTCCAGCTTCTTGACGTCAGAGTTGTTGTTGCTTGTCATTGTCTTGGAAACCCAGTTGAAGAATTGCGGTAGCTGCTTCAGGAGCACTCCCTCTTCATCGGCAATGCACTTACGCACCAGCTTAGCCATCTCATGGGCATGCTTCTCCTTGATCCGTTGGTCGTCACCTTGCCCAGCATTCTTCTTCAACTCGGAGGCATGCAGCTTGTTGATGGAGGCCTGTGACTTCAAGAACTTCTTCCGGACGTTGGATATCTCCTTGTTGATCTTGGCTAGCATCTTCTGGCCATCCTTGCCTTCGATAATGTCCTGCCCCGTACTCTTGGCAAAGCGAGTGTTGCTCTTGCTGGGCCGAAAACTCTTTCTCATGGACTGCGGGCGAAGTTTGTGCGAATGCAGGGCGCTGGTGCTAAACGAAGACGCTGCCCTGGGACGTCCCGACTGCAGTAGCCCGACAGAAGGGTCGAGCGAGGTTGAGCTCCTGGCCTGGCACTCTTCCAGTTGCTTGGGCTGCGAAAGGCAAAGGGAGGCATTGGTGGAGCGACGCGCATTTAGGGTTGGTATGACCGCTTCACCAAGCAGTGGGTCCTCGTCCATCATGTTGCGCAGCGCGCGCTGATTGTTCTCCTTCTGGTACTGGACCGGGTTTATGAGGCCCATCGCAAAGTCCTGCATCTCCTCGGGGATGTACTCATTCACCTCGACCAGTACAAACAGGCAGGCTAGCGGCAGCGGCTGGTTGTTCTCGTTGTGCAGGTGAATGTAACGATAGCCTGGCTCCAGGCCAGGAAGAGGCAACACGCGCATGCCAAGCTGCACGCCCTGTGAGTCTACGACAATGAACCGTAGCATAGCATGGTCGGCCAGCACAACCTTCTTGAAAGCAAACACAGTCGGCGAGCGGAAGTACACTGACGTGTCGTTCTGCATGTACTTCGTGCGAAATTTCCGCCGAACCGTGTCCGCGGGGATGCCGTACATGTCAACGTCCACACGAACCTGCTCCCTGGAGCTGGAGACCATGTGCGCCGCTAACACTGTGATCTTTACCGATGCTGCTACAACGCTGTCAATGGGAGACTCGGCAAACGGATCAAAGTCACGATCAGGCCGCCGCATCACGTCAGGTTTCAGCAAGTAGCCACACCTGCCATTGTAATCAAACTTTCCAAGGTTAAGCTGCATGGGTAGGTCTAATGTTTGGAAATTCAAAGACACCATCTGACAGCCAACATTCCAGAACACCTGTGGCTGGTAGTTGGACGAATCCACACGGGTGCCTCGCGGGTAGATACGTATGTTCTGGCGCTGCATGTACTTTGCGAATTCCTTCGAGAAGTCCAAGACCAGACGTATGGCCTGTGTTTCAGAGAATGACGACATCTGATGGTGCCGATCCTTCTCCTCCGATTCTTCAAAGGATTTGAACTTGACAGGCTCAAGGTAGTTGACCAGCGACGGCATGTCTAGCTCACAGCTGCCATTCGGAGCAATCATTGATATGCTGGCATCCACATGGTCAGGCGCACCAAATTCAGATGCGGTCGAGTTGCGTTGTGACGTCTGCAGCGGAGTTATTGTCGACGTTGACCTAGCTTCGTCGAGATGGCAGTTCGCTGGCATTGACTGAACCCTGCCAGGTGAGAGGGCAAACAGGTCCTGCTCTTGACTCTCCTGCGGCCTATAAACAGATCGCCGAGTAACACTGCTCTCGTCATCCACTGTGATAGTTCTTGACATATGCCTGACCTGCATATCACTCTCCTCTTCTTTCCCTTTCTCAGGCTTAGGTACTAGAAGCTTATTCTTGCAAAGGATCTTTCCACGTAACTGATTTGGCGATGGTAATGGACTTCCCGGTACTAAGGGGCAGTTTTCTAATGGCTCCAGTAACAGTTTGTCGCCTAGAATTGTTCTCAGGTAGTGTACCATGCGACGCTGCTGGCGAAATCGGCAATGATTCTCAAACGACAAGAGTAACGGATAATCTGTGACTTTGAACGCACACTCGTTGATGGCTTCTATCACTTCCTTGAAGGGAATGTTATTGACAAGTGTGTTGCCGTGCGTGATAATCGGGTCGCCATCACTGCCGTCCCAGCAGTCCAGCTCGATGCAGCGGCAGCCCGTCAGCAACACTTGCCGGTAGATCTCAACGGTGGCCTTGCCGGTCAGCTGGTGCCCGGTCAGGTAGGTGTTGTGCGAGGAGTTGATGAAGTAGTGGCACAGCGGCTTCTCCATGTCCTGGTGTTGAGTGAAGCAAGTCACATCCGTGACAGCGTTGTGTACGGAGCGCAGGTAGCGCCGCAGGCCCTCGGGTGTCATCTGCTGCTTTCTGGAATAGTCTGCATTCGGCTCCACCGACTCCAGGATCTGTTGCACTTCGTCCTCTTTCAGCAGTTTGAAGAGAACCTCATTGAGGCGGGGGTCGCGGTGTGTTGTATTCAGCAGTCTGGTAAACTCCTTTAGAGTCACGTACGGTTTCGGAGTCTTGCTTCTATGTATTCGCTCGATCACATCAGATATGTAGGGGGCCGGTACCAGCTCATCATGAAGTGCTATAAACTCTTCAAGGGTAAACGAGGCAAGTGGAATGAAGTCCTTGGGCCCAGAACTCCAGCCTCGGCTCTCCATCGCGTGCTGAACTACTTCCTTAGGCTTGACTGCAAACAGGGCCTGGATGTGCTTCGCAGCAACCGCATCTTTCTCGGGATGTCGCAGCGTGCATAGTCGTGCATGCTCGCGTTCCAGCATAACCGCCTCGCTGATGTTGGTGGCAATGACGTTGTACAACAACTTTCTCAGCTCGCTAACGAACAACTTGGCATCATCTGGGGAAATGGCAGCCAGGTTGATGAAGCTAGTATCAACTAGATTCATTCCATAGACTATAGTTACTGCTATCTCCTCAAAGCTGGACACAGCAGCAGTGTTGCTCAGTGACTGAACCAACTTTTGATCTTTGGGTTGACGAGCATACTTGCCATAACGCACGTCAGACACTTCACTAAGATAGATGGGAACACCCTCACTGGTGGGGTTCATGATAGACAGAATCAGGCCACTTCGATCCACTTTCACTTCGTGGTGAGCAAATGGACCATCACTGTCCTCTGTGTCCCATCGTCGGAAGTGGAGGCCACCCAGCAGGCAGCTGGGAACGCTCGGCGGGGTCGGCCTCAGCCTGTTGTGGTGCGTTCCCGCGCCGGCCATAGTAGGAGGAACTCTGCGCGACCAACCCCTGTCCAAACAGCGAGCTATCAATCGGGGACGGATGGGGTCCGTCGACTGCCTAGGAGTCCATAGCACCGGCTACACTCTAATGTCATTTGCAGACTATCCGGCACACACCGAGAATCCTACAATCCCATACAAGATAGACTTCAACAGTTCAAGTTCTCTATCGACAGGCTGGATGAACAAATCCGGAAGTGGTGCATCGAGTAGTACAAGGCATTGAGGTTTCGATTCTCCTCTTTCTCTCTATCTCTCTCTCTCTCTCGCTTTAGTATGTCAATGTAAAAATTAGTTAGTCGACCTCAAGGGCTCAAAGCTCAGCAAGACCAAGGAGCCGGAGGCGCAAGACAAAGACTCCAAACGATTTTCAAGACCAAACAAAGTCAAAGCAGGGATCGGGAAGCACATGCATGGCGCATATGGAAACAAAACCGTACATAAAAAAAATAAAAATAAAGGGCATAGCGCATGATGTCAGAAACCCAGTTACCAAAGCAACTGCTTTGTAACATGCTTGGCGTCATTCAACCTCAACTGGCTCAAGTGTGTACGGGACTTCCGATGGCTTCGCGAATTCGCGTGGCTTGCCTGAAAATCTGAAATAATAGTACAATTCCCTTCTGTTCCTCCCCCCCCCCGCCCCCCCCCGGCCTTTGCCCTGCCCTAAAAGTACAAGTAGCTTTCACTTGGCTTTCAGTGGAGTTTGGTCAAACGTCGATATGAAGACACATGCCATGGACATTACGTATACAGTGGTCCCTCTATAATCCGGCACCATTTGTGCCACGAAAATCTGCTGGATTATATATGGAGGGTGCTGGATTAACAAATCTGATTTACTGCTCCAATGTGCATGAAGAGGACATTTTGGCTACTGAAAATTGTGCTGGTTTATCGAGGGTGCTGGATTATAAAGTGCCGGATTAGAGAGGGACGACTGTACATGGCATTTTTTTATTTTTTTTATTTTATTTACTTGAAAAAGCACATAACCACCAGGAAAGCTGACAAAGAATGAGGCCGAGAAAAGGCGCGCGTACGAAGAACGCGTCCGGGAAGTTGAAAACGCGTCTTTTTCTCCCATTGTGTTCAGCGCTTCCGGCGGCTACGGCAAGTCCGCCTCCGCTTTTTTCAAGCGTGTCGCCTCTATGCTCGCCGACAAGAGAAAGGAGCCCTTCTCCTCACTTCTTGCCTTCATTAGGTCAAGGGTTTCCTTTTCTCTTGTTCGTGCCTCCAATGCCAGCCTCCGTGGTCACCGCAGGCCACGGTCTCAAGATGCCCGCCAGAGAGTCATTGACTCTGATGCTTCTGTGGTCCTTGCTGCTGCAGAGTGCTTTCGGTAACTATCCGTGGTGTGTTTGGCTACTGTTCTGCTTCAGTACCCCCCCCCCCCCACTTTTTCATGATTTTGCATGTTATCGTTTTCTCGGATTCCGGTTTTCCACTCTGTTATGTTCGAATCCATAGTCAGACCGGAATTGAAGAGAGTGGTAGTAGCTTACGGTTGGGATTTTTGTAGCTCCAGTCAATGACGGCTTTTTGGTAGTTTATGCTAGCGGCCTTGTGCCTGTCAAACGTGCCTCATGATGCAGAGTGGACGATGTTGCCGCTGCAACGGCAAATCCACCTGTGTCAGGTGTGAATGCAACAAGGCTGGCCGCCTTTGCACAAACTGCTATCCTTCGGCGAAGGATCATTGCCGAAATCGAACCCCAACACCCAGCTCCCAGTCGACAGTTGGGGAGGCTCGTACAGGTAGCAGTTTTGAAGCTGCTACGGGAACCAACGGCCGGACGTACAGATGATACGGTAAATGTCACGGATCAACAGCCGCAAGAAACTCGCGGATCGGCCACAATGCAAGTGGCTGTCGAGCAGAACGCGGACGAGATCACCGCGGCTCATGCAGCTGCACTCACAACAGCACTGTTGAATGACTGCCGGAACCCGCCGTGTGTCCCTGCTGCATGCGCACCCGAAACCTGTGAAATAGGCAGTGACAGTGACACTGACTCTTCGCTCCAAGAGGATGCTCGATTACTAGCGGAAATTGCCCAAAGCTTACCCACAGAGGATGCACACGAACCGGCATCTCAAGACTCTGAGATTCCTCCCTTCACACAGTACGACCTACCTGATTACACTACCTCGAGGAAAGTTGGTTTCAGACTTGGAGATCTGGAGGAGGCTGCTTCAGAGGCAGCCATCACAGAAGCTTACGATGAGGCAGTTCACTTCCGTCCTAACGCCTTCAGCCCACCACGAGGGTCTGTCGGAAAGGCATTTGTGTCACAACTGAGCCGCTATTTATCATGTTTTGGCAACGCTGGGACGTATGATGGACTGGCTATGAAAGTAGCCATGGTGTTTCAGCAGCTTCTCTTGCAGAAGCCCCATACTCCAACACCGATCTCGCTATCCTCTATTCTGCAACGCCGCCTCAACTCCTGGAACAATGGAGACTTAGCCAGCTTACTCCACGAGTGCCACACCATCCAGCAGCAGTTGGAAGACTATCACACCCGACCACATCCAGGCAGCCAGAATGAGAGCCAGGCCAAGAAATTTGCATCTTTGGTCAACAATGGAAAACTGTCAGCCGCAGTACGTGAGTTGGACGGTTCAGCAGCCACGGGGCTCCTCCACCTGGATGAGAAGATTGATGGATCAACTGTTAGGGATGTACTCAGAGCCAAACACCCGGAAAGCAGCCCGCCCAGCCTGCAAGCATTGATACAAGGAGACATCCCGGAACCACCCCATCCAGTACGATTCGAGGCCCTGACACGTGAAGTAATGAGGAAGGCTGTTTTAAACACTCATGGTGCTGCGGGTCCATCAGGCATAGACGCGGACACATGGAGATGGATGGCAACCAGCTTTGCAGATGCTTCGGACTCTCTCTGTGATGCACTAGTCCTATGTGCTCGCCGTTTGGCTACCCAGTTCGTCGATCCGCTGGCCTTGGAGGCCTATCTCGCCTCCCGTTTGGTCCCTCTGGACAAGAACCCAGGGGTGAGACCAATCGGGATCGGGGAGGTAGTGCGCCGCATTATCGGCCGAAGCATCCTGATCGTCATCAGCGACGACATCCAGAAAGCAGCGGGAAGTCTGCAACTCTGTGGTGGCCAGGATTTCGGCATAGAGGCAGCCATTCATGCCATGCACCAAGTCTACGCCCAAGAAGAAACGGAGGGCGTCATTATGGCGGACGCGGCCAATGCGTTCAATAACCTGAACCGCAATGTGGCCATCCGAAACATTCGCCACCAATGCCCCTCTCTTGCAGCAGTTGTGATCAATTCGTACCGGCGGCCGAGCAACTTGTATGTGGCAGGGGAGTGTATTCTGTCCCAAGAAGGCACAACCCAGGGGGACCCCCTGGCGATGCCTTTCTATGCCCTCGGCATCCTCCCACTTGTGAGAGCGGTAGCAACCCCGGACACCTGCCAGCTATGGTACGCGGACGATTCATCTGCAGGTGGTCGTCTGGTAGCAATTCGATCGTGGTGGGACAAGCTGCAGGCTGAAGGTCCGTCCTACGGATATCACCTCAATGCCCGGAAGTCTGTGCTTGTGGTCAAGCCACATGCCTACGACGACGCTGTGCGCCTCTTCGCTGATACTGGCATCCAAGTAACATCTGACGGCAACCGCTACCTGGGTTCCGCTATTGGCACGCCCGACTACATCCACGGGTTCATCCAGGAGAAGGCCAATGAATGGTGCAAGCAGATTGAGACACTCTCATCCTTCGCTCGTACCCAGCCCCAGGCAGCGTACACTACTTTTGTTCGTGCTCTCTCATGCCGCTGGACATTCTTGTGTCGTGTTCTGCCGGATGCGTCCAGTGGTCTTGATCAGTTGGAACACGCCATTGTTACCAAGCTGCTGCCAGCCCTGACTGGAGAAGACGTCAGTCTGGAGCTGCGACGGCTGTTTGCCTTCCCTTGCCGGGATGGTGGCCTGGGCATCGTCAATCCAACATCTCTAACAACCCAATACGCCTCATCCCGCGCGATCACAGCGGCGCTCACCACCAACATCCTCGACCAAGACTTCAGTGTGACGGAAGCTCTTGCCAGCGTTGCCTCAGCCAAAGCGTCACAGCGTGCAGATCACCGCCAGAAAGCGAAGACCGACATCCGTGGCTTCGCTGCCGACGCATCGCCCACTTTGCAGCACACAATTCAGTTGGCAAGTGAGCCTGGCGCCTCCAGCTGGCTTACTTGTCGTCCGCTATCCCGTCATGGATTTGTGCTATCCAAAAGCGAGTTCCGCGATGGTTTGGCACTGCGCTATGGCTGGCGGCCTTCTCGCTTACCGTCAACCTGTGTCTGTGGAGCCAGCTTCACAGTAGCCCATGCCCTGACATGCAGCACCGGAGGTTTCCCGTCACTTCGACACAATGAGGTGCGGGACATCACTGCCTCGCTATTGAAACGTGTCGCCAGTAGTGTCGCTATCGAGCCACACTTACAACCGCTCTCTGGTGAGCAGCTCCGCTACAAGACTGCCTCCACAGATGACCAGGCTCGACTTGATGTTGCGGCGAGTGGTGTTTGGGGAGGTCGGTTTGAGAGAGTCTTTCTCGATATTCGGGTTTTCAACCCCTTTGCTCCCTCAAATCGATCCTCTTCCATCACCGCTTGCTACCAGCGTCATGAACGTGAAAAACGGAGGCGATACGAACAGCGCGTCAAGGAGGTCGAGCGTGGAACCTTCATCCCTGTGGTTTTCGCTGCAACTGGTGGTACTGGTCGAGCTGCTGCCGCTCTCCTCAAGAGAATAGCTGCAATGGTCTCCGACAAATCTGGTGAGCCATACTCTGCAGTGATGGCATGGATCCGCTGCAGGTTCAGCTTCGCCCTTCTCCGTGCAGGCGTGGCTTGCCTGCGTGGTGCACGACGGCTGTATTCGCACCCGGAGGTGGCTGAGTCATCCGCTCGACTCGCTGTCTCGGAAGCTGCCATACAGCACTAGACACTTGTTTATGCCTCGTCATCATTGCTTTTTCTCGTATGGTCCATGTATGTAACTACTGGTACTTGTTTTTATTGTATCATTGTGTTACTTAATTCTGCCCGTACAAGAGGCCGGTTTACCAAGTTAAAAAAAAAAAAAAATCCATAGTCTGTTTAGTTTGTACACGATTTGTACGCAACTTCTCATTGTTTTTTGTTTTGTTTTTTTTACCAGGACTGACTGCAAGTGGTTCCTGGTCAGACTGCGGCAAAATCGAAATAATCCTAGGATTATAATCCGAATCTCCATAGTAACTTGCCGCCAGAGCGGCAAAAGCGAGAGTTGACGCTCCAAAAAAAAAGCAAGAACGGACCACGCTTTTCCGCTCCAAACAGGATTTGACGCTGATACGCCATTGACGCTGATAATCACTGATTTTTTCATCTCGATATCGAGGAGCTAATTGGCCACGGACAACAACAAAACTCATAAGGATGGTTGCAAGGATTGCACTGAAGGTGTTGGCGATCCCCAAGGTGAAGGGATTTGACGTCGTTCGTGGAGATTACCACTTGACGCTCGAAATGAAGTTTGAATTTTCGCTCTCCCCACATGTGTAGTGTGATCGCGATTCAAATTCTGGACGCTGTTCCTTTTTCGTCAGGCAACCAAAATTTGCCGCAGTCTGACCAAATCAGTTCCTATTCCTCATTGTTGCTTCTTTTTTCCCCTCTAGTTTTCTTTTACGGTATTATAATTTCACGGAGAAGGCGGAGAGCCCGAACGTGTGCAGTTTACATGGTTTATGTTTATTATTTGCCATGGCGACCCCCATAAGTCCAAATAACTGGCAGGGCAGGGTTGGGCCTTTTTCTTTCTTCTCGGATTTATTTTCATGACATGCATGCTCACTGATTTTACTCAGAAAAAAAAAAAAAAAATTTTTTACCAGGCGTGGGCCATCCCCTGATCATAGGTGCCAAAGACTACACGTAGATCTACAAGATCTACTCGTACCAGGGAGTTGTGTATAAACCCCGGGTACGGGTATACAACTCCCTGACTCGTAGTGAAGTACGAGTCATCGTACTCAGTAGATCTACCAGCAAGAGTACATAACCCCAGGGGTTTATGTACTCTTGGTACCAGGCATACTTATTACTAGTACAATTGTAGGCAAGAGTGCAAGTGCTGCTACGGGTACCTGTACTGCATGTACGATAGAGTTCGAAACAGTGCACTGCATGCACGTGCATGTGGTGTATGACGCCGTTTCAGTCAGTATAGTACGGCTCCATAATCTGAGTCCATGTACGACAGCTGACAAACACGTTCCGAATACTACATGTAGTATGCACCTGGTGTTTGACCTGGTTTGGGTGTGGATGTGCAGACGAAATCCAAATCCGAAATAAAACAGAAAGGCAGCCAGCTGCGTCCAGCAGATGTAACTACCAGTGCCTATAGGCTATACTATAGGCTACAGCAGTACAGGAATTACTTTTCTACCAAGTACACTGTAGTTAGTTTATGCCAACGATTGACTTCTCCTTTGAGTACTGCTGCTCAGAAAACACACAGACTTGTCAGAGTAACCCAGTCCAGGCCTGCAGGGGAGGTGAATGACTTATTTGCAGCAATGGCCAGCCAGAATGAGCAGCTAGCAGGTCAGCATCGGGATCGTCCACCTCCCAAATCATCTGTAAGAAATGAAGTCCTAACTGGTAGATTTACCCAGCATTCTCTAGCTAATAATTCGCTTTTTTTAAAAACTATGACGTTTATTGTTTATCAACTGGTTACGTTTATTATTATTTTTTATTCCGAGCAATACATGGCTGGGGTACCAATGACCACTTTGCGTGGCGATTGCAGGGTTTTTATAGCCAACCACGGCTAGCAAGGAAAAGAGTAAGAAGTCAAAAAGAAAAGGAAAAGAAGAAAGAAGCGAATATGGACTAAAATTGTGGTCTACCGGTAAAGCAAGGCGTAGAAACGCCCTTTGTCTCCTGGTGCAGAAAAAAGCCACTGGAAATAACCATTGAAAAGGGGGGGGGGGGAGTGTAGCAATGCAGAAGAGCGGGCTAGAGGAAGGGAGAGTTGGTTCCTAGTGGGGCTATCCCGTCGGAACCAGTCAAATGGTTTAAGATGTGGGGGTATTTTGGAAAATCGAATACGATGGATAAGACAGCACATCCTGATTCGTCATCTTTCTGGGAGAGGTCTGGTCGAGGATAACATAATTATATATAGAGAGCGACACTAGAAAGGGACTTGGGCATATGATAAAGAATCTTAAGGAGAGAACGATTGTGAATTTCCAGTTTCTGCTGTTGGGCAATAGATAGATTTGTCCAGGCAGTACAGCAGTAGTCAAATTGCTGTCCCCACAGGATACCGCGATTCCGCGGACGCGCAATTTTCCGCATTATTGGCCATCATCCGCATTATTCAGGGGAATATACAGTTGTGGCAAGTGAAATCCGACACTTGGCATAAGGGACTGCACCATGCAGTCCTGCATACGTAGTACATGTGTTAGGCCCTCATCAGACTACGTACATAGATAATCCAGTACAAAATCACATAAAACCTAAAAGGCAACATTTTTCCATGCCTGCATTCAGACTACACATTTTACATGCAATATACAGGCAACCTTTGACCCTACGAAATTGCGCAAGGGGCCTGGGCATATGGGATGTGTAAAAGCAGCGGACATGTCCGGACAGTCGTACCCGGGTACAAAGTTCGTACAACTGCCTGGTGAAAGTACGATAAATGCAGGAAAGTTGCCTTGTACAAGGGTTGGCACCCTGCCTGAAAGGATTCGGCAGCTTTTTAGGCTTCCCGCCAGATTCTTGTTGTTGTCCTGGAAACTTCTATGTAAATGTGACTTATAGGCTGTTTTGTACCTAGTCTGAAGAGGGCCTTAGGCCCTCATCAGACTACGTACATAAAAAATCCAGTACAAAATCACATAAAACCTAAAAGGCAACATTTTTCCATGCCTGCTTTCAGACTACACATTTTACATGCAATATACAGGCAACCTTTGACCCTACGAAATTGCGCAAGGGGCCTGGGATGTGTGAAAGCAGCGGACAGTCGTACCCGGGTACAAAGTTCGTACAACTGCCTGGTGAAAGTACGATAAATGCAGGAAAGTTGCCTTGTACAAGGGTTGGCACCCCGCCTGAAAGGATTGGGCAGCTTTTTAGGCTTCCCGCCAGATTCTTGTTGTTGTCCTGGAAACTTCTATGTAAATGTGACTTATAGGCTGTTTTGTACCTAGTCTGAAGAGGGCCTTAGGCCCTCATCAGACTACGTACATAGAAAATCCAGTACAAAATCACATAAAACCTAAAAGGCAACATTTTTCCATGCCTGCATTCAGACTACACATTTTACATGCAATATACAGGCAACCTTTGACCCTACGAAATTGCGCAATGGGCCTGGGATGTGTGAAAGCAGCGGACAGTCGTACCCGGGTACAAAGTTCGTACAACTGCCTGGTGAAAGTACGATAAATGCAGGAAAGTTGCCTTGTACAAGGGTTCGCACCCTGCCTGAAAGGATTGGGCAGCTTTTTAGGCTTCCCGCCAGATTCTTGTTGTTGTCTTGGAAACTTCTATGTAAATGTGACTTATAGGCTGTTTTGTACCTAGTCTGAAGAGGGCCTAACATACAACTTTATCCATCTGATGACAGAATTCGTACTCATCAAAGTCAAGGTTCACAGTCAAGGTTCAAAAGGTGCTGGCAAAAATGAATTGGGTTTGTATACCAATACTCCTTATGTGTACCATGTTGGTGAACTGTGTGTATCTACGCTGTGACCGTTCGACCTGTTTGGGATGCATACGGCTCTATAGTACAAATTAGGTGCAGTGCATTATGGGGTATTCACACGACAGGCAAATCCACGTGCACCGGAAAGTTGCTATGGTATTTTACCTGTGAACGAGAAAAGTGGCTGAAAGTGGCTGAAAAGTGCAAGCGAGCTGGGGGCCCACTTTCACGATAATCGTGGCGTGCACGAGTACATTTACACCAAAAAGCGCGAAACAAGACTTGATTTTTTACGCGGCTCTTTAGAGCATGATAGTTATTGTATGCGTGTTTTGAAAATTTGAAATACCCATTGCTACTGGTCGGTGAAGCATTCAAAAATGCAAACGTGCCTGTCGTCAAGTGCAGCTGTGTAAATCCACACAGTCACTTTTGTCGTATGTCACTCCCTGTAAAACGTGCAAGTGCCTGTCGTGTGAATACCCCATTACATCATTGATGTCCATTTGTGGCGCTGTCCCCTATGGCAAGTGTCGGATTTCACTTGCCACAACTGTCCAAGAAAATAATGCATGCTTTTGAAAATGTACTACAAAGTCGTATGGGTTCATGAGTTTGTACGACAAAGTTGTATTCTTGCATGAGACTGCACGCTAAAGTTGTACCAGTGACGGAAAACTCATGCACAATGACCGCATTAACCCGCATATTTGCCGCATAATCCCGCATATTTGCCGCATAATGGCCTGTTTTCGCCCGCATAATTATGCGCATAATTTTAGGAATTTGTCCGCGTTATCCTGTGGGGACAGAAAATGCAGCAAGATAAATGCATTATAAAAAAGAGCACGACAGCCGTCAGGAGATGGGCGCGGTGTGAGTATATTATACCTATGACTTGACTAGTCTTCTTACATATGTGGGCAACATGGTGAGTCCAGGAGAAATTGGTGTCAAAAATGACACCAATATGCCTGTGATGATCTACATATTCTGTGGGAGTGGTGGACAAATGGAATACTAGGGGAGGGAGAGGGTAGTAGAGAGTAATAGGCAGAGGGGGAATGATCATAACCTTGGTCTTCCCGACGTTAGGTTTTAGCTTCCACAATGCCATCCACGAGGTGATATCCGTGATACCCGCTTGGAGGTCCAATATAAGACGGGAAACAGAGGGACTACTGCGCAGCATACACGTGTCATCTGCAAACAGAGACACGCCAGGGTTGAGGACAGGGACGAAGGCCAGGAAAAGTAGCGGTCCTACGGTGGACCCTTGCGGTACACCGGAGCGAATAGGGATAGAACCCGAGAGGACTGGACCAAGCTCGACTGATTGAGTCCTATTGTTGAGATAGGAGGTGAGCCACGACTGCAGGCGTCCGATGACCCCATAAGCATGCAGCTTGGCTAGTAACCCCCTATGCCAAACTGAGTCAAACGCTTTCGCCAGGTCGAAGAAACACAAGCCAAGGTAATGGCGGCGGTTTCAGAGGGTGCACAGTCTCTGGACAAGGTTGGTTAGATGTAGAGAGGTAGAGTCACCATGGCGGAACCCAGATTGCATATCATGGAGCAGAGGTGCCAGATGATGGTACAGCCGATCATAGACGACTCTCTCAAGTATCTTGGAGCATGTGTTCAGCAGAGAGATAGGGCGATAGTTACCAGGATCATGTCTGCTTCCCTTGTTCTTGTATATGGGCACAACCACAGCATATTTCCAGGCAGTAGGAAAAACGCCGCTGGACAGGGAATTATTGAAGATAGGAGAGAGAGGATAGGAGATAGAAAGTTTCAAGGCCTTCAGAATCTCGTTGCGTATACCGTCATAGCCTGGGGACTTCCCTGTGGGGAGTTTCTCAATATAGCGAATCACGGCCTCGGAGGAGATGACAATGTTTGAGAGGTTCGAGGCCGGAGAAGGGAGATGAGACAGATCTGGGATGGGCCAGTCAGGATCGTCCTGTGTGCCAACCCGTACAAAGTGCTCGTTGAAAGCAGCTGCCATCTCAGCAGGATTATGTGTGAGGGTGTCAGCGGAGGGGGGTCATTGCTGAAGGTGCAGGATGATGCGAAGACACGCCAGCCAGGGAGCGGACAAATGAGTAAAGCGACGGACGGCAGAGTTAGTGAGTTTGCTCTGGAGTGACTGAATGTATCCTTTGTGAGCACGGCGAGAGAGGTGCTTGACCAAATTGCGTTGGGCCTTATAGCGAGCAAGGTTTTCTGCTGTGGGGAATTTCCTGTAGATGCTATGGATATTCCGTTTATTGATGACTGCATTTAATACTGAGGTCGTCAGCCAGGGTGGACGTGCTGGCCTGTCGACGGAACGACCCTGTGAAGAGGGGCGATTGACAGAAGAAGCTGGGGACTGATACTTGGCGAGAGCAGCAGAGAGTTCAGATGAGAATCTCTTGCATGTGACGTCGATACTTGTGTTACCAAGAAGCTCCCTCCAATCCACGGAAGTAAGCTGCTGGTTTATACAGTTCCACTGGTCACTTGTGATCGTACGGAAATGATAGCGGGGCGGTGAGCTACCGATCAAGTCATCTGGCGTGGACAGTGAGCGCTCATAGGCTGTACCTGATGCAGGAGAGAACGTTGGTGCTTGGTAGTGTTGCCGGCTAGGCGCTTCCATACGAACCAACACAATGTCGTGGTCAGACTGACCCAGAGGAGCAATAATGTCTGAAATGGAAAACGCAGATGGTGTATCAGTAATTACCAAGTCCAAGGATGCTCCTGTTCCGGCTGGAGTGTGGTGAGTAGGGAAGTTGACTAACTGGGAGAGGGAAAACATTCTTAGCAGGCATTGTAGCTGGTGTCCAGCAGTGTCCGTGATATTGCCGTGCCAGTCACTACACTTGGCATTGAAATCACCCATCATAAGCATAGAGGAAGTAGTGTGTCTGGTCGTCTGAAGGACTGTTTGCAGACAGCCCACAAAATTGTCAATATCAGTGGAATACGCATTTGGTGGCCTGTAAACGCATCCAGTAATGAGACTCAGGAGGTGCAGATGATGAGGTCGATGTATGCGCTGTTATTTCGACCCATGTGGCCTCAAATTTGGGGAGGTGTAGATCAGTGCAATGCTTAACTGTACCTGGAAAATCCGAGCGGACTAGAAGAGCGACACCTCCGAATCCCCTAAATCTATCAGTGCTCTTCTTGTTGTCCGCTGTGGGTCGGTCACGGCGGTAATAGTCGTAGCCTGGAACTACAATGGAGTTAGGTTGAGACAGCCATGTTTCAGTGATGCCAATGACGTCAGGCTTGTACTGCTTGATGAACTCGGAAAGTTCTCCATGCTTATTCTTAATTGATCTAGCGTTGATACATGCAATGTGTGTGGGTCGGCCAGAGGAGGGCTGAGCGGGATAGAGCGGGTGGGCTAGTTTCGATCGTGGGGTGAATACATCAGCATCAGCAAAGCGCCACTTTCGCACTGTGTACTGGATGGTGGCCGGCCAACGTAAATCGTTTCTTTAGAATACTGGTGAACGGGCCACGCATAACTCGCGGTGTAGTGTGGGTCTGGGTGGGGTTTTAAATTTCCTGAGTGCCCTGACCAAATTGAAGGCATTTATTCATGCAGGCAATGCAATTAGCAGCCATTAGGCAGTTGCAGCATTCACGGAGATGCCATGGGAGACTGGAGTGTGCGTTGCCCGTTCCAGTTGACGTTTGGGCCGGGGCTAATTTATACCAGCAATGTATTTGTATATGGCATCACCAGTCTCGGCAAGAGTACATAACCCCCCAGAGTGTGCAACGCCTGATCCAGCTCTGCATAGGGTCTTGGTCGAGCGGAATCGGATCTTTGCGTCATAATACCGTACACATCTGAGGGGAACCCGGGGAGTCGCGGGTACTCTTGGATCAAAAACAATGGTGCCCTGCCTCGAGACCGGCCTTGCGCTGGTGTGAAGTGTACGCATGACATCAGAAGATCCGATTCCGCTCGACCAAGCCCTACACAGAGCTGGATCGGCGTTGCACACTCTGGGGGGTTATGTACTCTTGGTCTCGGCCACCGGGTGGTGTTTGGGGTCAGCTGCTGCTCATGGTCGCGATGCACATTGCGTAGACCACAGATCACGTAGAACGAACTTTTAGGACCGTCTGGCATCAAAGCACACAGCACGGTTTTAGTCTCACAGTATGGTCTTTTAAAAAGTTGTCTCCCTAGCTGCTTCGGCTCTTGCCGGCCGCCATTCTTGGTGACCATACGGAATCGGACACAAGTATAGCAGCTACCCAAATTTGGAATATACCGTAAAGTACCGGGGTATACCGCGAGATCGCCCCATCTCGCGAGAGCGCCGCCTTGATTTTACAGCCAGGGAAAGGAAATCGTATGGCAGAGTGCAACAAAGTTTGTACGGTGTGAGAACCTTGTAGTGTACTAAGGTCACGCTTAGCATGTTTTTGTGTGGAGCTCAAAGGTAAACTGAGTACTTTGAAGTACAGTTCATACATGTCACGTGCCTGTTGTCAGGTCGTTGCTAGCATTTGGCCAATCAGAGCAGCACCGTACCAGGGCATTATCAGACGATAATGCTCGGGTACGGCATACCCATGCCCGTTAGGAATCACCCCAGGCGTACTACGTACGCTGGTGCACTGCCAATTATGTACCAGGCCATGCTTTTAGGACAGTGACCTGGTACATAATCGGCAGTACTCCAGCGCACATAGAACACATGGGACCATTCCTAAAGACACCACATGCACTCGCACACACCACACAAAACGAAACTACTTACGTGTACCATCCAACACAATTATACTTTACTAGCAATGTCGACATCGGAGAAGTAATTTATAACAGCATGGCAATAGAATGACACACAACATGTCTATTACAATGCATTACTAAATTGAGACGAACAAGTCGACCAGTGAACATGGATCACAAAGTTACCTATCTGGAATAGATCATATTGTATTTCGAACTCCTGCAAAGTATTCAGTTACATCTACATGTACTTCAAATGTACCTAGCTACATGTCTAATGTACATGGACCTCAAGTAATCTCAGTTGTATGTGATTTTATGCCCTAGTACGTAGCCCTCGGTCATGCACCGTAGCCCGCGGGCCTGCGGCTCTTGGGCTACGGTGCATGACCTCGGGCTACGCACTAGGGCATAAATCAGCCATAATGCCCTCCGTACCATGTGCTATTATATACGTCATGGCAAGTGAAACCCGACACTTGGCATAAGGGACTACACCATGCAGTCTGCAGCCCTGCATACGTAGTACATGTGTTACATTACATACAACTTTTATCTGTCTCATGACTGTCAAGGTTCACAAGAAAGGTTCAAAGGTGCTCGCAAAATGAATGGGACTGGATACCAATAATCTTTATGTGTACCATGTCTGTGAACTGTGTGTATCTACGCTGTGACCTTTCGACCTGTTTGGGATGCATACATATGGCTCTATTGTACGCAACTAGTACAGTACATTACATCATTGATGTCCATTTAATCGTGGCGCTGTGGCCGCTGTCCCCTATGGCAAGTGTCGGATTTCACTTGCCACAACTGCAAGGTTTGTGTTGTATGACCTGTAGACAGGACACCGCCTTCACAATACGACCACGAAAGGACGAGTTGGCGGGGCGCTCTCGCGGTACTTAATGTATAATTATAATAACACATGGTAAGGAGGGCATTATGGCTGATTTATGCCCTAGTGCGTAGCCCGAGGTCGTGCACCGTAGCCCAAGGGCCGCGGGCAACGGTGCACGGCCGAGGGCTACGCACTAGGGCATACAATCCGTCATAATGCACGACGCGCCATGTGTTTATTATAGTTCATACATGCCACGTGCCTAGTTGTAGACAAATAAGGTGAACATGGTCAAGGGAGAAGGAACGGTAAAGGTCGAACCCAAATCTCGGTATTTTTCCCCTTACGGCGATACCGTTACAACATAACGTTTTTTTGCTAAGGGTGTCTAGTGTTTCCTATTGGGCAGTACGGAAGTTAGCTGATTCGCTGTGGCTTTGGAGTTGCCGTTGAACGAAAACAGCTGTGACCAAGTGGTACTAGTAATTAGACTAGTTTGGGAGTACATTGTAAGTGCTCTTATTCAGAACAATGTCCTTTTTCACGTACATGTACATGTGCAGCTGAGATTTTGTTCCCATTGCTGTCAGTTTACTTGAGGTCCATGTACAGTGTACATTTAGCTAGGCACATTTGGAGGAGATGCAACTGTGTCTTTTTTTAGGAGTTCGAGATAAAATCTGGTCTATTCCTGAGTAACTTTGTGATGCATGTTCACCAGTCGACTTGTTCGTCTCAATTTAGTAATGCTGTGTGTCATTCTCTTGTTGTAAATTACTTTTCCTATGTCGACATTGCTAGTAAAGTATAATTGTTTTGGATGGCGCACGTTAGTAGTTTCGTTTTGTGTGGTGTGTTCGAGTGCATGTGGGGTCCTTAGGAACGGTCCCATGCGTTCTATGTGCGCTGGAGTGCTGCCGATTATGTACCAGGTCACTGCCCTAAAGGCGCGGCCTGCTACATAATTGGCAGTGCACCAGCGTATGTAGTACGCCTGGGGTCCTTCCTAACGGGCATGGGTACGCCGTACCCGGGCATTATCGTCTGATAATGCCCTGGTACGGTGCTGCTCTGATTGGCCAAATGCTAGCAACGACTTGACAACAGGCACGTGGCATGTATGAAGGCACTGTAAAGTACCGCCAGAGCTCTCCGCCTTGATAGTGCATCGATTTTCAAGTAGGGTCCAGAAGAAAGACAATTTGATATCGGTTCGAATGGCATATCTCTCGCTTCCATGCGATACGTCAAACTTGCCAAATTGCCAATTGTATGCTCACGTTGCCATATCGACCAGCGCAGTGATGACGCACGTTCTGCTTAGCTCCGTGAGGGACTGCAGAATTTAATCATTTTCAATTGTCTTATTGTATTCACGATGTGAAAGAAGTGCTGTGTTCAATGCTTTTTAGTGCCGTGAACTTTGCCTTCTCCTGCATTTCCCTAGGCTGACTGTAGCCTAGGAAATGGTTCCTCTAGGAGAGGATGCTTGGTATTCGCCATCTCTCCTGAGACATTTTCAGCAAACTTTCTAAACTATGACATTATTAATTCATTTGTCAATCTCCACCACCCGTCGTCTCACCTGGCTTCAGAAGATGTTACGAGAGATAGGAGAGTTGCCAGGAAGCACCACATCCATCTTCAGGAAGTGGAAAGAGCGAACGGCATGGTCCTTAGTTGGGGTAAATGGCTACTATCTCTGGGCTCAGCACTTCGACGTTGACAAGTTCTGAAGCTTCGCGTCGCAGATCCTGTCAATGATGGTGTCAGCTATCATTGACCTTTTTTTTAGGAAAGGTTCTCATTCAAACACAGGTTGATTTCTCACGGGCTTTCTTTTTTTTTTGGAATTATTTTGGTGTTCTGATCTCTTGTCACTACCCCCTTCTGTTGCCATAGGCAGCAAGCAAAATTGAAATGCAGCAGTTGGTGCTGCCGCGGGATGCAAACGTCGATGGTGAGCAGCTCCATCCTGGACAGCTTCTCAAGTGGATTGACGTAGCTGCCTGTCTTTCAGGTATGTTATAAACATGTTATAACATAACTTTACAGTTGAACATTGATCATTCGACCACCTCTAGGCAAATATCCCTGGCCAGGTGTTCGGATGCGGCAAATGTTTGGCGTATTAAAGGAAGCCATCTGCCACACCTTTATACATTGTATAGAACGTTCAGGACTGCACGCACATCGATTCAGTCAAGTATATGCATGCACATGTGTGGTATTGCTTTTATTAATGAATCTAATTATACTGCACGCCGGCACAGTCCACCTTGCGAAAAACGACAATTGGCCAGCCACGGGAATCATGTTGGTATTCGCGCAGTGCCATTTCAATATACAATCATGTACATGTAGGTAGTGACCATGTTTGGCAAAACATGATATGCATATCAAATTCCCTCAGATCTAAAGCAAATCCTATGTATCGACATGCATGAGCAAAGCATGTGAAATGATGATCGCAAGGCTCACAACGAAAAGGAAAGAGAGGATTTGTTCAGAACTGTGTTCTTAAGATGGCAATGAACAGAATCAGCTGAAGCGACACGTAGAAAATTGTTGTCACCTCGCCGCCTGTTCAACTGTATTCTTGTTACATTCATCAGTGAATCTACGTAACAATGGAATGGGGACTACTTGATACAAAAAAATTATGGACAAGTAAAATTATGTAACCTTTCCTCTTTCCACTGCCTTTGCATTCAATCGCACGTTCATGTCCACAGCCGAGCGTCACTGCGATAAATCCTGCGTTACAGTCAGCATGGACGGTGTCTACTTTGATCGTATTCCACGGTGAGTTATGCAATCGCGTGCCTTTGAACCGTGTGTAGCGGTCGTGTGCAACTGGCTGGGGGGGGGGGGGGCACCAACAATGGAATCGGTTCATTTTGGTTAAACACATGCATGTACCAAGTACCTTTTTTATGATTGTAGATTTTTACTGTCCTGATACTTAGTATTCTCCAATTAAATAGTACTCGCTTCAAAAAGGCACATTTCGATTTACATGTCCAGCTTCTGTGCAGCTATGAATTAATTTGTTGTCTGAGCCCCCGCGACCAGTCAGACAGAGCAACGAATTGTTCGGGTTGATACGGTTTACTTGGCCTCAAACGACGAATATGGGGACAAAGGAAAGGAGCAGGGCTCAGGAGGACAACGGAAACGATAAGAGTAACAAAAGGGCAGAAAACCACGAGAGAGAGAATAAAACGGACCCAACGCGAGGAGCTGCGACGACTACAGAAAACGGAAGACCAGGAAAACGGCGCAGGGCCACGAGTTATAACCCAAACGGACCCAGGCACGAACCCAGGCACGTACCCAGGCACGGCCACGTAATCTTAGCAGTAACCAGGCAAAAAGCGTGCAGACAGCATGCAATCAGCGTGTGAACAGCGTGCAGCTAAACTACGTACAACATTACTCCGCCCTAAGATAACTAAGTCTCTCCTGAGACTTTACAAAGCAACAAATCTTTAAGAAGGGGAGGGGTGAAAAAGGGAACGGTTGAGCAAGTGACTAATGGGCCAGGTGGGTTTACACTTAACGACGGCACCAGTGTGGCGTATCCCCTTAAACTAAAACCCTGCAAAAAAACCCGTCCACACTGATGTCGTCATTAAGCGAGTTGTTCAACCTGTGTATGGCCCTTGGCTCTTAAATTATCTGAACAACACCAATACCCATGTCCTCACCGTCTCAAACGCCCCGAGGCCTAAATAATAATACAATGCGCAATCACTCGAGATCATTAGCAACATGAATATCCACCAAATAAACTACGTCAGTCGCATCTGAATCCTCCACCATGACTCCCGGGCTGGGAGAAGCCGGACGGGAAGCTACGGTTTCCACTGATTTCCGCCCTGGTACTCGCCGGCGGTGCCGAGCCCGGCGGGAGCGGCGACGTACACGCCGGAACTCCACCGCGAGAGAGTCTTGGTTTGCCGACGGTACAGGTGGTGGTGTTGCGGGTGCGGGAGGTGACGTTACAGCAGACGATTTGCCACATTCGCGGCCAGTAGCTACGAAGTAAATCCGAGATGGATCAGCATATTCGCGTAAACTTAACAGAAAAGAAAACACAGAGAGCAAACAACTGGCAGCGGTTTCGAACTTCAACATATTGCTACCTACAAAATTACGAGAACAGGTTTTGGGCGCCAGTTGCCAATATGGCAACAAATTTATTTTAACAGTACACAAACAAGCTACACGAACTACCCTCTTAACATAGCCCTATAGTGGCCAGGGCCTTTGGTCAATTGGCGGAGGCCAGGTCTCCGCGGATCCGCTCCTGGGTCATGCTGTGCCGGGGCAGGAGGTACAGCATCACTAATTCCAAACGGGGCTGGAAGGAAACAAGGGGGGCCACCCAGGGACGCCTGTACTACCTCCCTCTCTGGCTCGATTTCAGTCACCTCTTTTACTGGAGGTAGCACCACCCGACCCTTTACTAGCCTTAGTCGATCTGCATGTACTGTTAAATGGCAGGCATGTCGAGCCGAGGGCAGCGGTCCCACTCTTACAACCATGCACACCACACCACGAACTCGCTCAATCTGCCACGGACCAGTCCACGGCCTATGCAATTTTGGGCTAGTCCCGGGAGGGGGAACCGAATGGAGCCACACATAATCCCCCACTTTCAAACCATGCTCGGAGGCCTTTTTGTCATAGTTTAACTTTACAACAGAGTGCGCCACATCTAATCTTTCACGCACAACAGAGAAAGCCCGAGCTAGGGATTCACGCAGACTAGCTACATACACGGGAACATTGCTTTCTAGCCTAGCATCGGGAGTGGGAACAATTAAATCTAACGGTAAACGGGCCTCCCTGCCAAACAGAACAAAGTGGGGAGTAAACCCTGTAGCCCGGTGCACCCCAGTGTTGTAAGCGAGCTGCACTAACGACATGTGCCGATCCCAGTCGGACTGGTCGGGAGCACAATACGCACGCAGCGCAACTTGAATGGTGCGATTGGCCCGCTCGACCATACCATCCGACTGGGGCCGGTATGGAGTAGTACGAGTTTTGTTAATGCCTAACAAACTACACAACTCAGCTACCAATTTACTTTCAAAATTCGCTCCCTGATCTGAGTGCAATTGCTCGGGCACACCAAAACGGGTGAACACCCGGTCTACTAACTGGTTTGCAACAGTTTCCGCCCGCATATTTGAAATTGCAATGATTTCCACCCATTTAGAAAAATAGTCAGCCACTACCAAAATATACTGATTCCCTCGGGGAGTTAGGGGAAGTGGTCCCATGATATCCATCGCTAATATTTCAAATGGGGACCCCGCACGCACAGTACCTAGGGGGGCCCTAGACTTACGCGGCGGGTTCTTACTACGCTCACACACTTCACAAGTAGCACGAAACACAGCAACATATTTTGCCATGCCCGGCCAGTAGGCAACCTCTCGCAAACGGGCAAGGGTGCGGTCCTGGCCAAAATGGGCTGTCGTACGACTGGCATGCGCTTCTACCAAAAATCGGTCTCGCTCACTTTGTGGGACAACTAATTGACGCGTATTTTTCTCGGGAACGGACGTACGATATAGCAGACTATTTTCGACTCTGAGAACGTCGGCCTGTGCCAACAGACTCCGGACTGCGGGACTGTCTCCTGGTTTCGCAGAGGACTGGGAGGCGAGGCGAGGCGAGACAAAACGACCTGCAATTCTTTGTCGTTAGCGACTGCTTTGCGTAACTCGTCAGTACCAGTTGACGGAATGGCAACTACATTAACACTAGTATCGCCCTCTTGTAGCCTACTTAAACCATCTGCATTGCCATGGAGACGACCTGGTCGATGTTCAACAGTATAATGGAATTCAGCTAAAGTACCGAGCCAACGCGCGACTTGGCCGGATGGATTCTTGAAATTCAGCAGCCACCGCAAACTAGCATGGTCAGTACGCAACAGAAAAGGACGCGACAGGAGCTGGAGAGTGGCTGGCATCGGTTCGTAATAAACACGTTGCATCGTAGACGGTAGAGAAGAGAACTGTCGAGGGTTCGAGCTGTAATTGGGCGCCAAATGTTGTCTGAGCCCCCGCGACCAGTCAGACAGAGCAACGAATTGTTCGGGTTGATGCGGTTTACTTGGCCTCAAACGACGAATAAGGGGACAAAGGAAAGGAGCAGGGCTCAGGAGGACAACGGAAACGATAAGAGTAACAAAAGGGCAGAAAACCACGAGAGAGAGAATAAAACGGACCCAACACGAGGAGCTGCGACGACTACAGAAAACGGAAGACCAGGAAAACGGCGCAGGGCCACGAGTTATAACCCAAACGGACCCAGGCACGAACCCAGGCACGTACCCAGGCACGGACACGTAATCTTAGCAGTAACCAGGCAAAAAGCGTGCAGACAGCATGCAATCAGCGTGTGAACAGCGTGCAGCTAAACTACGTACAACAAATTATTCTTCGGCAAAACGTGCTTCACAAGGCTCATCATCATCTCCATCTGTTGATCGCCGCGCTGCTGCTCTCTCTCTGGAAGCGCTCATTCTCCAGTCGATGGTGATGGCTTCGTTCCTCATTCTCAGCAGCAAGCTTCTTGGCTTCCAGGTCCAATTTTTTGGCTTCTCTTTCATTGTCGATAACTTGCTGCTGCTGCTATTGGGCATGTCTTTGTTCCTCTCGCTGCTTTTCTGTCTCCCACTTCTCCCTCTCCAACGTCACCTTGTCCTTTTCCAATTCCAGGGCCACTGTCTTGCCTTGCCGGTCAGCCTCGTCTTTTTCCCTGAAATAGGACAGCAACGCTGTGGTGCTCGTTTCTTTTGGTGTATTCTTCGGCTGCACTGGTGAAGGTTTGGGCTTCATATCTGGGCCGGGCCCCTTGTGATCGTCAGTTGAAAGGTCAGAGATGGATCGCTTCTCGGACAGGACCGACATGGCCAGCTCACGGCATGCAGCGCCCTTTGCCCGATCTATCCCTTCCTTGCGACTTTTGGAATCTGACTGTAGCTGGCGATTCACGTAAATCGAGGCGGCTTCTCAACTGCAGCTTTTCGTCCATCTCTTCAGCATTCCCGGACTGGCGACGCCGCGAGTTTGAATCAGAGCGGTGTTTCGTGACTACTTTTACAGCTCGCTCCCGCAACATCCTCTCTGTAGCTGTGGAGAAGCTTGTTTCTGTGCTTCGATTCAGCGCCCTCGTGAAATCTTTCCAACATTTCAATTCGTAATTGAAACAGTTGCTTGTTTCACACCCAACATCAGCAAGTTATCGTCTTTGAAAGTGAAATTCACTGTGGCAGTCTCCGGGGAAGACGCCCAGCTGGCCTGCTGACCACGAAGTTCTGACAGAGGAGAGTGCGACATGGCAACACAAAACTACCACTTGAGATAGAAATCAACCTCTCAACGTCGTTATCTGTTGTGCAGCGGCGCGGGAAGAATCTGAAAATATTTGTTTGACAGCTTTGTTTGGCAGCTGCCACGTGCCACTTCGTTGATTCAATTTCCGCGCCACATTTAGAAGAATTTCGCCGTGCCCGGTTTCTAGCAAAATCAGGTTTACCCCTCAAAACCCTCTTCAGCCTTCCCCGGTTAGCCATTAGAACTTTCCGCAAATCGCGCGTGCTGGACCATCAAGTGCCAACGTGATGAGACCGCGTTCCTCGTTGGCAACGCGCGTTTGCCTCGCTTCCGAACGTGGCACGTGACCCTCGAACGCGTCAAGTGGGCGCGTTGCACGCCGTGCGAAAACTCTCTAATATTGGGTTCACATATAGTTGTTAAAAAAGAGAGTAAATTCTTGTCTCTGTTCCCAAGGGGACTCACACCCGGAAAATCCAGCGGCAGACGCGGCGCCTAACGGTGGGGTAAGGGGATAAGTCTCTCAACCACTGGCACAAGTGCCCAAAACCCCATTAGCCGCCTCTATGAAGTAGTTGTTTCACTCCAAAGAAACCGGGAGAGGAACGTGTATTGCCAGTGGACAGCCATTGTATAAATTTCCGCCTGCTCTCCCCAGTTTCTTACCATTCTGTGTGACTTGTTGACTCGCATCACTCCCTGGCCTGTTTCTCTGTGTTCACAGAGTTGGTAACATAGTCATCCTGAAGGCACAGGTGACCAGAGCTTTCGACAGCAGCATGGAGGTAAGGCATTAGACCTGCTGTAAACTGCTGCGAGTGCAGGTGTCACATGTGTACGAGTACAGTCCAGTCACCCACTCGTGCCTCTATTTTGAACACAGTGCATTCATATGCGATATGACACTGCCTCCTCTTTTACACCTTCGCGTACGCACATGCGCCTTTCTCCCATGCGTTCTCCGCTTCTCCTCCTGTCTTCATCAAGTGTCCTTGTAGTTGCAAGTATAGTGCATTGGTTGCTGTGTATAATTGACGGGATAGTGTGCGTGTGGGCCTTCATCTATAGTGCTGTTGCGATAGTGAGCTCAACAGCACGCAGCGGTGGGAAATGAAATCTTGGCCATGCATCTAATTCTCTCACAAAACCATTTTCGCAGTGATTGCCAATGCCAATACTTCCAAGGCTGTTATACATATACATGTACATCGTAGCGAGATTGTTGCTCACATTTAGGCCCTTAGAGACACGTCACTGGAATTGCTGATGCATCGATGTGTGATATTTGCTGCTGCAGTGAGACCTCGCTTATCCGGTCCTCTTTTATCCGAATCCCTCGCCATCCGGAAGAAAATAGCTGGTTACATATTTACAGCATATGTGATGCATCCAACATAAACGGTGTTCAGTTATCCGGTTCCCTCGCCTGTCCCGTTATTTTTGTGGAAAACAGATGTGTGCGGTTAAGCAAGGTCTAACCGTATGTAATACATCGTGCACCGTAGTTGGCACTGTTCGCTTATTGTTTCTCAGTATGAAGGTACATGGCATACTGGCGTGAAGCCAACTGACATGAATTCATCACCACATGGTGACCCCGCACTAAATCCTGTTACTATTTTTGCGTCTTCGGTAGCATGTCAAATACGATGGTAGCATCTCTAAAGAACTTTACGATAATATTATTTTCGCTCACTTGTGAGCTTGCGCACCATTTCAAGCCTGATGAATGATGATGACAAATTTTGCTGAAACATTGTAACGATGACTGGTAGAAAGGAGTTTTGATGATTGCAGTGTAGCTGGGAAAGAGCAGACTAATTTGCCATTTATGAAGCTGCAGGAAGCCACATCACTTCTACTTTACCATAGCCATATTCTCTCTTGTGAAGATCGAGATGATGTTACTGATGTGCTGGGGTGTGACTATTAGCCTCGATGTGGAGTGCAATCAAGAGTACATAGTTTGCAACAATTTTCAACGTCTCGTGAACCGCCGGTCACAGCTCGCTTTTTTGGAATTCAATCATTTTTCATGATGTTATCCATTCGACGGTGCACGTGCACATCGGGGAGTCGTAAAGTACTCTACGACTCCCTGATGTGCACAGAACTGCACTGCACGCCCTCGGCCTCACACCTCGTTTGCATAGCTGATTACTGTAAACTGCCTAATGCTTGCGACGTATTTTAAAATGTTTGCTAATTTTGCGAGAAGAGCGTAACGCAAATATTAACCATCATGAAATCAAACTTCAACCATGAGTGTATATGTGCGGCCACTGTGCTCCGCGAACATTTGTCATCGTAAACTCGCTGGTTCTGAGAGATCGCAAAACTTTAGTGACGCAAACGTTGGGCGGTTTACAGTACGTCGTGAACGGTGGTCAGGCTGTGAGAACGGGTCGTGGCGGCAACCCATCAGAAGTTATCCACTCTTGGGAGTTCTGTGCTCTTGGACTTGGTGCAATGTAAGAAGTACTAGAACACGCATGATTGTACTAAAATTATGTGTTTGCCTGCTGCTGTTGTTCTTGTATTTTGATTCCTGTGTCAAGGTGCTGGTGCTGGTGACCAGTGAGGACAGATGTAACCGTGTGTCCATGCCCGTATGCAAGGTGAGAATGTCCTACCAGTCAGTGCTCACCTTGTAACCAACTTGCCAAGGTAGAAGTCAAATGCTTCTTTTAAAAAGTTATACACACACACCTTGATCCTGCCTGTCAAAATGTAACGCTGGCAAACAGTGCAAAGTGACCTGCAAAGAGTTGAACCCAAAGTAAGGTTATGTACTCTTGGTTTTATCCAGGGTACGTTTTATCCAGGGTACGTTTTATCCAGGGTGCAGTGTTTTACACTGAAGTTTCACTTTGTGTGACATACCGTAGTGTCGCGTATAAAAGCAGGTGCTTACGGCCGTATAAGCCGGGGTTCAAACCACGCTTCTATTCAAGTTATGCTTCATCATCATTGTACACTGTGCAGTGCATTCTGCCACGCACGTACTGTGCAAGTACTTGCGCGTGTCTTTGCAGAGAGTGGCTTCTATTCAAATCGTGCGTCTGTGTCACGGCGCACTTCGAAAAATCAGCTTCTATTCAAGTCATGCTTCTATACAGGTCATGCTTTTATACAGGTCATGCTTCTATACAGATCATGCTTCTATACAGGTCATGCTTCTATACAGGTCATGCTTCTATACAGGTCATGCTTTTATACAGGTCATGCTTTTATACAGGTCATGCTTTTATACAGGTCATGCTTTTATACAGGTCATGCTTTTATACGCGACACTACGGTACACGTGTACTACAGCACTAACCAAACATGCTTCTGATGGGCTCTGCCCAGCTGCCTGCTGCCAGCTGCCTGCTGCCAGCTGCCTGCTGCCAGCTGCCTCTTGACAAGTGAAGTTGGCCTGTAGTTGTAAAGTCACGAGTTTGCCTGTTTATTATTGTCTTTTCCACCGCCCCTGCAGGCGTACCTGACATTCATTGCACGTCTGAAAGAGAAGAAGAAGGTAATGGTTCCGCCATTTCATGAAGATGTCCTGTGCAGCGGGTGTGCATGTGTGCACGTGCTTTGCATGTGCGCGTGTGCACGTGCTTTGCATGTGCGCGTGTGCACGTGCTTTGCATGTGCGCGGATGCACGCTATTAGTTTGGTGAATGGTATGGGCATGTCTTTTAAAAGTGTGTTTTTTCTCAGCGTGTAGCTGTTTATAGTCCAAGTAGAGTAGATGTGCGAGCATGCCGGGTACCGGGTACCATGTCACTGTCTTGGCTGCTTTTTTGGAGTACAGTAGATGTCAGAGCATGCCGGGTACTGGGTACCATGTCACTGTCTTGCCTGCTTTTTTGGAGTAGAGTAGATGAGATAGATGAGATGTATTGAGAGTGTGCTATGCTTTTTTTCAACCTGGTAATGTATGCATCCATGCAGGCAAATTAGTATCGGCAACTATCCGTGGGTTAGCAAGCTTTGGCTCGTTCGCCTTTTTCTCCCACTTGCACCGATTTGATCTCAAAAGAAGTAGGAAAGAATCGCCCACCTTTCACATACGATGAACCGGAACATCTTATCATGCTCAAAAGAGAAGTTATAACTTATAACTTGTAAGTCTCTGAAGGAGCTTTATTTTCGCAGCATGTATGAAACACGTTTCCATGTGGTGTATCTCCGGCAATGATTACGCTGCCGTCCTAAAACTTTCCCCTGAAGCTCCCTAATTGTACATTCAAGTTTCTTCCGCATAAAAGTACAAATTTGAAGCTATAAAAGTTTTTAAAATGGCCGCAACATCATCGTTGAGCCGTACTTCTCTTCAGATACTGTAAACTGCCTATTGAGACATTCGACGACCTGACACCTACTACATGTAGTTCCCACACATCTACGAAGCGCAAACCAACAACCTTCCAACTTGGAAGGCTCGGGTGCAGAAAGTTCCAATGAGGAGAACGGTCCAAGTAGGAATTATCTGGTTTGTTGTTGTTGTTGTTGTTGTTGTTGTTGTTGTTGTTGTTGTTGTTGTTGTTGTTGTTGTTGTTGTTGTTGTTGTTGTTGTTGTTGTTGTTGTATACTTTATTTATAGTGGAAATCAAAACAGGCATAATGCCTAATAACATTGGACCCACAGTGAATACAATTTTAAAGGATATTGTGGAAAAGTAGAGATAGTGAAAAGAAAGAAAAGAAAACGGAAGGTTGGTTGTAACGAACATATATCAATCCAGTGAGCTATGGAAAACCTACGTAGCTGATAATATATCCTGCAAGGCTTGAGATTTGAAATCCCAATACCTATTTGAACATTTTGCTGCTGACGGCAATCTATTCCACATAATGGCTTCAGTGTGCATTAGGCGCTTTTAGCAGACCGAGCAGTGCTAGCAGGTGGGACCACAAGCAAGTTGCTTTGGCTTCCTCGAGTGCGAGTTGAGGGCATGACAGCAAAAAGGACTGAAATAGGGTGCTACATGCATCATGCAAACATCGTCAGATGAAACAAAACATATTCAAGTGCACAGAAACCTGTAGGTCACATACATGCATTCGATTTAGCAGGGGAGCAGTGCTGGTCCACAGTGGAGACTTGCAGACTGCCCGAGCGGCACGTTTGAACAGCCTATGTAGCCGTTGTTCCTGAGCTTGTTGTTCCTGGAACATGAAAATGAAGGCTAGATACCGTTGCTAGAGAATCGAGTGCGAGTTGAGGGCATGACAGCAAAAAGGACTGAAATAGGGT